ACCTCAACACCAAGGGCAGGTAGGAAACTGAGAACTCTAAGGCTTCCTGTCATTTACCCCAGAGAACTTGCAGATGGTTTCAGCAGTGCAAAATAAAGAAAAGGGAATGGAGATACGGTGGGCTTGACCTCAGCCTACATATGCATGCATCTTCCTGCAAGACTGCTTCTGGCAGTTGACATGGCAGAGGAAAACGTCAGGAATATTACAATATTCTCAGCCTCATTTTATATTTGTTTTAAGCCAAAGAGACAGATTTCCATGAACGCATTGCTTCTTTCAGGAAAGGGGTGACTGTTTTCGGATCGTCTTTAGAGATCTTTTGAGCAGTGAGGTCAGGCTGGTAATGTCCTAATGGGATCACTGCATGTTACAGTTCAATTCTGTTTACCAAAAGTCCAGTTTCTGTAGAAGTAACATACGCAGCTTCTCGGTGGAGGAATGCTTTCAGATACTAAAAAGATATGGGCAGTTATGGGTCTGAGTTAATAGTTACATAGAACCATGGTTAATAGATTCATGCAATTATCTGTAATCTAGGAGCATCTTTGCACTATTTAGTATTTTAAAAAAGCAAAATGAATATTTGCTACATTCAGTTTTATGCAGTTGCAATAATTCCATGCTCATGTTGAGGAATAGTCATCACTATTTCATTTCATTCAAAAGTTTTTCAGCAAAATCTGATGGACACTAGTAGCCTATTTATCTGACTGACTTATAACTTTTGACTTGTGGATTACTTTAAAGGAGCACTGATTGGCTCCTTTATTTTTAGATAATGTGCTATAGATTGTTTTGAAATACATAGAACTTCAAGCTAAAATAATATTAGAAAATGCAGTGTTCATTAGTATGTTTGAAGTATATGCAGAAGAAACTGGCTTTGTTATTATGATCATGTTTGTTTGTTTTGAAATTTAGTGGTGCATGAAGCAACATCAAGGCCCCATTCTTCTCTGTAAGGACCTAAATGAATCATGTATTCAAATGTATGTTCTCTTTTTATCAACCATTCCTGGTCCTGTTAGTTATGCTGGGAGCAAATGCTGAAAATGTAGTCCTCTGTCTGATAGAGGACTACCCTCACATGGACCATGATAGCTGGGCCTGTGCTGAAATCCTGCTAAGTTTCTCCTTCTATTTGCTTTCTCCCCATGCAGAACAAGGCCCTGATTACACCAGTAAAATTGCCTATAAAACTTCCTGGTGCTAAGAGTGCTTTACTGCCATTAGACTGAGCCCTAATGGTGATGGATTGTTAACACCAACAGTATTTTCAGTGCCTTTACCCATTTGGATCAAGGTTACGTGGCAGCGGGGCCCCCAGCCCCCCTGGCACAATAGAAAACAACCTTTAAGAGTGGCGTGAGAGTTTTCTTGGGTAGGAAGAGTCCTAAGGTACTCTTGTTCTCAGAGGTGTGATTATGATATGTAATACAGAAACTTCTAAAGCCATTTTGCAATTTAATCCATATGGCAACACTAAATTATGTTCTTAAGGGAAAAACACCACTTCAACACTTACTTGATGATAACTAGATCAAATTCAACCCACACTAGTTGGGCACCAATCTACCAAGCCTTTATGAATAAATGCCCAAATGACACTTGATTTGAAGAAAGGCTAGGTGCCCTAGAAGTGATCACTAGAAGTGATGGGGTTTGAATTAGGAAATGTCCAGCCACAGATCTCCAGCAATCAGTTGCTCTGCCACCGTGTGTGCCTGAATATGGAACAACGTTGCTCTGGTCCCCTTTTCATTGTCCCCACCATCACCTTACTATATGAGCCCCACAGCAGCAGAAAGACAAGGGTCTGCATATTTAGCACGTATTTCTACAAGCAGAGCTGTCATTTGCCTTCTGGCAAGCCATGCTGTCTCGTAGCAGGTGCCACAACCTTCATTTCTTTTGGAAATCTATTGGCATATCATAGGCAACTGTGAAAAATAAAGATTCATACTGTGACCATATGATTCTCGCACAGATTGCAGGGTGAAGCTGTAGGAAGGTTAGAAATGGTAAGGAAGGACTTCTTTCTGACTTGGACAGTCTCCAAATTACTATTGACCCAGCCCAGAGCATGTCTAGATGAAAAATGAATGTGCAGCAGTCCATGTCCTATTGTCCCTTCCAATGAGTTAGAGATTTATCATGAAAGATATATTAAAAAGCATTAAATGACCTTCTGTTATGCACACATATCTAGACCTTTAAAATTTGTAATTCTGAACAGTCCTGTTTACTGTATGTCCTTAGGGATTTTTTTTGTTTTAACAGCATGCAGCTTGACAGAAATACACTACCCAAAAAGGGATTAAGGTATATATTTTTTTGAGCATGACTGCTGCTTCTCTGTTTTCCTATAATCTTTTCTACACTGTCTTTCCTTTTCTTTCTCCTTTTGTTGAACCTGTTTACAACAGAGTTCTTGGTATTTAGATTCAAACCACAAAATATAGATTTTAACAATGGATTTTTTCTTTCCAAGTCTGCCTAGTGAATAAATTTCCTTTCAAGATACATCATGGAAACTGATTACTATTAACAATAGTTTCCTTATGCAATGAATCTTAAAAGGCATTGAAACCTGGAGAGCTAAAAGAGACAGAGCAAGATACTTTTGCAATTCATTGGGACTAATTGTTGAAAATATTATTGAGAAAACCAAGGTTTTAGAGGTGGATCCGAACTTGAACTCTAAATGCAAACACTTGTGCAATTTGAATTGAAGATCTAGTAAAGGGTAAGACTAGAAAATGCTTATTTTAATATCCAAGGTTCGTAAGTATAAAATGAGCCCTGCTCCAGCTAGTCTTCTTGATCCCTATCAAGCAATACTCAGAGTCCAACTTTGCTACTAATTCCCCACTAATTAGAGCTATCTTCATCACAGAAACCAGAAGTCATCCACCCTCTTCTCCGCTCCACGGTTAAAAGAGGGGATCATTAGGTAACTTCTCTGGTCTCATCAGGCGTGGCAGCCTATCTCCCTAATCCGGGAAGGAGATTTGGCAAGCAAGGGTATATGTGCATGCACACAGACACTCTGCAGCCTTCCAGTCACTGAAATTACACAGTTAAATCTCTTGAGTTATTGATAAATAATAATTTATGTAATTTTAAGATAGTGCTAAAGTGTTGTCACGAGAAAGCCCCTTCTGCTCTTCTGCACTATCTCTTCCTTAAAAAGAATCTAATCAAATTTTCTGTTATCCCAAAACAATCACTTTGGATTGGGAGAGAATGGAAAAGGTGGAGGACATGAAAGAGGCATAAAGGGGACCCTGCAAGAGTACAATGGGATGACTGAGGTTTGTGGCTGTACGATTGTAATGGTGGCTGAAAGCTGAAAGTGAAATGGAGTGGGAAAACAGCTTATAGGCGTATAAGCCTGATCAGTTATCCCAGAAAGACCATAATTTTGATTTAATGTACAGAGATCCCAGTCCAAGACCAGATCCTGAATTCTCATTTTGCCATCTTTCTGATTTGATAACCTCTGGGTAACTCTGCTCTACCACATTTATAGGCAAAGATCATAGCTGTCTTTTTGAAAGGAGAAAGGAAGTAAATATTTAATCAGGACAAGATGTTTTAATGCCATAAAATGTTGTTCAAAACCCCAAGCACAACATGAGAACTTACACATTCATTTAATCTGCTTTCTAAGCAGAAATTCATGTGCCTCGCAAGCCTGAAACCAGAGTATCAAAAGCCCTTTCGGCTCTGTTGTTTGGGGAGCACTGATGGCTCATGACAGTGGTGAAGAAGGTGCTCATTTCTCAGCAGGAGATTGTGCTGAATGAAGTAGGCTATTGCAGACCTTGCTGAAAACAATCTCTTGGTTAAGAACCACACTGCCTGGACATTTTAATATTTAAGCACTGCCAGAATTGCCCTTCTTCCAGCTCAGCCTCTTTCAGCTGGGCCAGTGAGTTACCAGTTCTCCCTCTTAGCCAGTGTGTCAAGTTGCACTTGTTTTATTGGTTTGCCATAGGAAGCAGTTGATGAATGATTTGATTGCCAGACTTCTTCCTTCCAGAGAACTTATTTCTGCTAATTGTGGATTTTTCCTGTCCCTTTCCCTCCCCCCCAGTTTGAGGCAGGACACAATTCCAAGTAGCATTCAGAGCGACAGACCGCACGTATGACCATGAGTAGTTGTCATTACCAATGCAAACTGCTTTTTCAGAGTTGTTGATCTGTTTCACTCCTGTCATCTAACCAATTGCCCACGTGATCTGTGGCAGATGTCATTTTGTAAGCAGCTACTCACATTTCCTGGCTTCTAGTCTGTCCATTCCCCATCCTAGCAAAACAGCTTCCAAGCTTTTGCATCAACCTGTATACTTCCTATAGCTTTGAAGTCCTTTCCTGTCAGCTCAGTGGTCTGTCTTCTATGATTTATCATCATATCTCTTCAAAAGAAGGGAATGCTGTTTTGGGGAGGGGGATGAAGAGGATAGGGGTTTCAAGTCTTGTACTTTTTCTGTTGTAATAAGATGGTAAACGTTACCTTGTTAAGATCCCTGGTGATAATCACTTAACTAGACTTGATACTTTCCAAGGGTTTTGTTCTGTCTAACTGGTGAAGGGTATTTATGTGACATCTGTTTCTTTCCAAACGGTCAACTTGTCGTTGTTTTGAGCGTGTCAGCTGTGGTTTTTCAGATATACTCCATCATCCCGGCAGACGAGTCAGGAGGAAGGCAAGGAATGGCTACGCTCCCATTCAACTGGAGGCCTGCAAGACACTGGCAGTCAGTCCCCACTTGTTTCTCCTTCAGCTATGTCTTCATCTGCAACTGGAAAATATCACTTTTCCAACCTGGGTAAATGCCATTTCCCTTCACTGTTTCTTCCACTCTAGAATAGAATCATAAAATTCAACCGTTCATATTTCTTAGTTTGCCAAACTAGATAATTTATTTTAACATCTCCATCACCATTAGTGGTGCCTCACTAATGAAGGGAAACTCATGGTATTTTCATTGGAGTAGGCCAAGGTATCTCCTATTTTGCATATTAAAAAAAAAAAAAGTACAGATTCTCTATGATTTGCCCAAGGAGAAGAATTCACAGCAGTAGGATTCTTTCCAGTGAATGTAGTGAATGTCAACCCAGACACTAAACATTGGGGTTTTTCCTATATACAGGTTTGCTTTGAGAAAGGCCTTTCCAATGCATTTCAATGGCTGGACCTGACTATAATTGCACTGGGCCCAATCCAAATCCCAGCCTTGTATGCAATATAATATTTTGGGATGCGAGTCACATTTCAGATTTGTTTGATTACAGGTCAAGATTTAGATTTGGTTCTTCTGGATCTTGTTTCAATTTAATCCAACACAAATTTAGTTTTGTTAATAATTTTATTTTTTCTTTAATGCTTAGTAGAAGAGCTTTTATTTGCAGCACTCTGGACACATACATAGGTTCACAATGAGCTTTTTAGGCCCTTACTGTGGAATTAGCAGCAACCTTTGAAGCATTCATACTTCCGTCACTCTGTCACAGCTTATGGCATCTGTAGGTTACAATCACTCAAAAGAAATTTGATCAGACATACAAATGTTGGTCTTTATTACATATGGGAAAAGAAGTTGAACAAAGCCACTTTTAAAAATGAAATTGGATCCTGGCTCAGCAAGCCACTGCTTTGGATTTCCTCCACGTACTTGCAGTAGTTTTAAACACAGCTCTTTTTAAGTAGTGTTTCTTTCACTCTATCATTTTCTGCTTACAATTATCTTCTTTTTGTTCATAGTTCTTGTACTCAGAACAGAGAGCAGTAAGATCAGGGGTTTTTTAAATTTATTTTGTCATTGTCCTTTGCTTCTTTCCATGATCATAGCCTTATGGAATAATTTGCGCTCACAACACAGCTGCTCTGGTAGTTTATGTCTGAAGGCATATCTTGCATGGTCTAAAACAAAAGTCCAAACACTGAGGCTGAATTTGGATAGACAATTGGCTTTTTCTTCTAGGCATTGAGTTCATGAGGTCCAGGTGAACCATAACTAGGCTTTCCTTCCTACTGGCAAAAAGACTTTGCAAAAGCAAAAGACTTTGCAAAAGCTTAAAGTAGCTTCATCAACACTCCTCTGGATTTTAACCATGCGTGACTCCTATTTATTATGATGAGATTCAACTGGCCTGTGCAGGAATTTTAACCTAATATAGTGGTAGGTGCTGTAGAAAATCAAAGTATAAAGATGTCTTGCATATGCCAATAAACTTTGGTCTTTACAGCAATTGGTAATATAGGTTTATAACAATAAAATACAGATACTGATTTATTAGAAGAGCTTCTTATAAAAAATACTTAAGGCTTCTTATTCCTTTTTAACTTTTAACTTTTGAATCTCTCCCATTGATTTTCTGTCTTGGGCTGTCAAAGTGAACAAGTGTGTATTCAGACACCAGTGTTAGTGTTACCATGTATTTTACAGGATTAATCTCATCCAGTTCCTTGGAGATCCTCTGCTTTACCTTTTTGTGGTGGCTTTATATGTAGGAACAAAAGCCTCACATTTTCTCAACAGCATAAAATCCACCTAACCATTACATTACAATTTTGTGCAGAACCAAAATTCATTTAATGGAAATGTGCTTCATTAATAAAGCTTTGTATTCCAGTGAGTCCAACCAACCTATCTCAGTTTAACCTTCCTGGACCCAGTATGATGCGTTCAAACAGCATCCCTGCACAAGACACTTCTTTTGATTTGTATGATGACTCCCAACTGTGTGGCAGTGCTACATCCTTGGAAGAGAGACCACGAGCAATTAGTCATTCAGGTTCATTCAGGGACAGCATGGAAGAAGGTAAGACTGAGTTACTATTTGGATCAGTGAATGGACCCCAAAATAGGCCACCAAAGTGTAGTGAAATTTTAAAATATTTCTTTTGCAACACTAAAACTTAAAAAATTTTGTGAAGCTTTTTTTTCATTTTATTGAGCTGGACTCATGGACTTCCTTACCCTAAAGCATGGAAGGTATTTCTTTCACACAGTAGTATGCAATGCTGGGTATGTCATACATGTATAAATCCTTTATCAGAAATTTTGGAGGAAAGGAAGCCATTCTTGGAAAATTATTTTATTCTTTTTGCCTCTAAATTTGAAGTGTCTGAGCATACCTTGACTACTGTGATTCCATGCTTAGTCCTACTTCTGTATTTCCTTTTTTTTCCTCAAATGCGAGTGCGACTTAGCATCCCCTTTCTTTGCAGTAATTTCATTTTCTCACTTTCCTACAGCCTCAGACAGCAAACACAATGTGCATTTCTGTATTTAAATTCTGTCATTTAATCTGACCTCACTACTTTCTTTAAGCAGATTATTACTGTTGGTCTGGTTTCATTAATGCTATGTACAACACCTGGAATTTGGAGAATATTTTGGGGGCATTGCTTTTTTTTTTTTGCTTTTTTTTTTAACTACAACCATCTGAGAACTCCTAATTAAATGCACTGTAACATTTTCTTTTGCCTAACATTTCTGGTAAATCTGCTTATTTGCAGAATTCCCATAACCACAAAGTTCTCACACCCTTCAGCTAAGAAAACAAGCCCCCCCCGCCTTCCAAAAAAAACCCCAAACAAAACCCACCACAAAAAACCCAGCAACAAAAAAACTCCACTGAAATTTAATGGAGATTTATTCTATAACATCATCTCATCAATCTTGCTTACTGCTAAGTGGTGGCAATATAAATAGTCTTTATAACAAGCAAATAAAGTCTTCCCCTAGCCCCAGAGCTCATAGTTATGAGATAAAAAGGGGGAAAAAAGTCCTAAATGAAATAATGGACAACTAATACATTTACTTTTCAATTCCTTCTTCTCTTCTGTATTTGAGATGATATGTCAGGCAGACATCTGGATATGTAATGCTAGCAGTAGGGTGCAGGACAGATCAAGCTGTGAGTTGTCAGCACAGGGAGGATGGCTGGCTGCACAGAAGCATATCACATAATTCAAGGACAGAGGTGACTACAGACCCTTTGCTGAGGAACATGAGAATTATCAAAGGAAACACTGGAAGAATAATAGAGAAAACAAGGCAAATAATTTATGCATAGAAAAAGAGGTGTTAAATCTAGAGGTTCAATAATGGGTCACCAGTGGCTTTGGTGAAAGCTTTCTCATTGGTCATGTTTCGTATCCAGCTGGAGCGGATAACCATGATCAACCTGAGTAAATGAAAGTCAATGCAACAATAATAAACAGATTTTCAAGCAGTTTACGGTCATTAGAGATTAACATGAAATGATGCTTTTGGAAGGCCAAATGTGTTTTATTTAAGATAGGAGCTCTGAGTAAGGTTATAGTGAAAGAAGGGAGGTAATGGGTAGAGCCGCTGCGAGAGCAGAATGGGAGTTCAGCTGACCGATTTAAAGCAGAGGGTACCACATCTTTGTAAATATTTGCCCAGTTTCAAAACTAGATTCAAAGTCTATTTGGCTAATCCAATTCTTGTATTGTCAGTTTGGCATACAGATGCCAGGTAGCTACTAAAGCAAAATAATTTATTTTCCAAATTCTGGCAGATTATAAATATGAAACTGATGTCTTTTGAAGAAAAAATGAAAAGAAGTAATTCAATAAATTAACTTGTTGAAAATTCTCTGTTGGTGTATCCTTCCTCATGAGAGTCATATGAAGCAGAAGGGGCAATTTTGTTTCAGTTGAGCCTTCACTTGCTATTTTCAGAGAGGCCAGCTACCCCATTTTTTGAGTTGAAGTCCTGCAACATTCACTTGTTGCTCTTGGGGCTGACTCTGCTGATGATTAGTGGAAATATGGCACTACATCTCGCAGTAACCCCTTCACATGGACTACAAATACACGGGTCTGTATTGTGCTGAGGGGAGAAACCAGCTGAACACAGCCTGGGAGCTCGCCCCAGGGAACGTTAACTGTGTTGCAAAGCATAGTCTCTTATTAAAATCAGTTTGCTCAGCTTTGGACGGGTGTATAAACGGCTCAGTTTCTGGTTCCTCTAAAGTGTGTATTTATCAAGTGATTTGTTGTCAAAACAAAAAAAGCGATGCCTGGTTTGCTGGTAATAATACTGAATCTCACTGGCTCGCTCTCCTACCTCACACAGTAAAGTGCTTTTTCTGTATAGAACAATCTTTCTAAGTGCAGGAAAAAATATCAATAGCTTTTCTATAATGACCGCTTATAATTGGTCTTCATGGAAGATTGTTACTCGTTTGAAAAAGATGTTTAGTTATTGAGCTCCGTGAGGGGAGTTTTATGCTTTCATCAATATTTCATGTTATTTTCCTTTTTTTAAAGTACATGGGTCCTCATTATCACTTGTCTCCAGCACATCCTCTCTCTACTCTACGGTGAGTATTGACATTTTAGAAAAAAGTTCTGCCTGTGTCTCTTCTTGTTCATTGCTCATGAAAATTTCAATACTTTCCGGTTTAGAAGGATTAAAATTGTACTGCAATAAAGCAGGAACATTTATTTTCAACTTTGGTATTACTGTCACGCTATTTTAGAATGCATTATTTTCATCTTTTTATGTGACTTGCTTAGAACTGCTTAAAATTACCTAGTGTATATTTTGAAATCTAAAAAGAAGGTAATTGTCTAGGAGTCTATATTTAAGGGAGATCCTTATGCTATTGTAGTTGATAATTTTGAGAGATTTTGCTTATTTTCAGTTAGTTTTCTAATTGCACAATTTACAAAGTGTTTTTGTCATCTCACTGAGGTACATTTCTTGTAAAACACAAGATTGCTTCAGGGTAAGGGAGATAAAATTTGCAGTTAAAATGTCTACTGATCTTTGCTGCAAATGACAACATTTAGATGTTATTTCCAAAGAGAAGAGTTTCTTTAAAAATGTATTAATCTTAGTTAATTAGATTAAGTAATAATTGTATTATAGCTCAAGCAGAAGTTCTGGGTTTGATTTTTTTCTCTATTTATTTTATTGTTTTGGCATCTTTTTTGAGATCTTCTGCATAATTTGTTGCTTCAGTTGTTCTACTAACAAGAAATCATCCATACAGGAGGAGTTAAGCATGTTTGGACATTCCCTTGCTGATATGCAACAGCTGCTTTGCAACCTATTCGCTAACCACAATTACATGCTGTAGTAGCCCTTTTTTGCAGGAGAGCAACCCACTTCTCTGTTTTCACACCATGCGTTCATGAATAGTCTGTCTCCTCTCCATAGTTTCAGGCATTGAATAACGTCAGGTGACATCCCAGGAATGGCAGCGACTCCTCTACCCAGAGCCAACAACAGTTCTTGCCTGGGAATACCGAGCCCATGCAGTCTGATGGGTTTGTACCACTTGGTAGCCCTATCTCAACGCTAAACTCATGTTAGCTTGGAAAGCAGGTTGCATCCATGCACAACGTCTACCACAATGGTGCCTCTCCTAGTTCTGTTTAATCATAAAAAGGTCTATACAAGGGCATGTCTAAAACATCCGGTACACAGTCATTATGGTTTCCCAGGCCTTAAGCAGCAAGTTGCAAGCAATTCCAGTCCAGACCAGTCCTGAATTATTTTGGGGGAGTAGAATGCACATACAGACTGGCTGCACATGAAGTGTGACTAACATTCAAATCAAAGCTTCTCATTTAACGTTTTGGTAGTGGTAGAAAACTTTACTATTTCTCTGTCTGTGAAACACTGTGGCAGGTGTGTGTCCAAAATTATAATTCAAGCTTTGATGTCAAATGTTAGAAGAATGGTATGAAACTGACAGATGGTAAAAATCAAATTATAAAGTGACACAGGATGCTTTCAGCCCCTGGTGAGTCAGTAAGTTTGAAATATGTCTGCTCTGATGTTGTCATGTAGCAAGAGTTTACTAATACTTTCTATTTGTATAACCTGCTATCATTCCAGATTGCCGAGTATCTTGGAAATATTACCTAAATTCTGTGATATTAAAGAACAGTATTTTTCCTGCAAAACAAACTTTAAACTGTTTACCCAAGTTCGGACTGTACGTGAAATATCTTCTGAAATGGCTGACTGTGAATTCACATTGCAGCTAAGCCTTGCTTCTTAAGTAATGGATTATGTAGACAAGATAATGAAAGTTACAGAAAAAGCTGCAAAGGGCAGGAAAGGAATTAGTGTGACAAAATTACTAGGGTTGGCCTTTAGGGATGAATTTTGATCAGAATTTCTTCTGCTTGATCCCTCTCATCCTGTAAAAAAAGTTTAAACTGTTCAGCAATTAATCAGAAGATGATGCACAAGTGGAGAATAGAAACGTGAAAGGTTGGCAATCAGTATCACACCAACTGAAAGCAGAGAACAATGTTTCATTGTTCGATGATACGGTGCAGTGCCCCATTTCCTCCAGAAACGGATAGCTTCACAGGGTTATGCCACATGTGACTCGCTTTCAGCTATTACTAGATTGAAGGAGGGATACAAAAGCTATTTTACCTTACTTAAGCAAGAGAAAATCACTAAGCAGGAGCAGCCTCCTTTCCGTAAGTGTCTTAATCAAATATGTTTATCAGATTTCTCAAGCATTGCCTTAAGCCTTGATGGTAGTGTTTTTTGGCAGCCTAATCACTGGAGAGATTCAGACAAAGTACTAAATAAAGATCAATATCAAGATCTTTATGCATTATTACCAAAGGATAGCTGCAAAGTTTGAAGTTATTCTCTTAAGATTTTTTTCTTTGAGAATTGGAATATGAGATTCAGAAGAAACATGTCATGATTTACTGCTAGTGGAATGAATAAGTCCAATGAAACAGAAGTTTTGCATTCACTAGTATTTTCTGTATGTATTGGCTTTCTTTTGGGTTTGCATTTGGGTTTTCAGAACTTAATGGAATAGACTGGAAATCCAGCTTGTAAAGATATGCATATACAGAGACAATCATTTGCTTTCAGAGAAAGGTATGCCATGTAATTGGACTTAGTAGACTGTAAGATTGAAATGCTGATTCTGTTTTGGCAATGAATATATCTAGCTCTTCGAGAAGTTGAAAACGATGTGTGATAGTGTAAATTATGATAGGTTGTCTCCAATTTTAATCTCCTCCTGCTCAGTAGGTGAGACACTGCAATTTGCACATATCTAGTTAATTGCTATATTTCTTCCACTGGCTCTCAGCATTAGCTACACTTAGAATACCTAGACTTCATTAACTGTGCTAAGCCAAGCTCAAAGGAGATGTGTAAGGACATGTCATTTGTATGTTAATATTTTAAGTCTTAAAAAAAATAAAAATCCTTACAAGGATGGGATGCATGGATATGATGGAGAAGTAGAGGGAGAAAAGAGTTATTATTTCCTTTAGAGCCTTTCGAACCAATGGCTGAGTGCTGGGTTACAGTGGTGTGAGCATGAATTCTTGGCTAAAAATTGCTCAGATGTATTTGGTGGTCAAATTTTATTGGTTAAGTTGATAGTATGCCCAGAATCCTGTTCTCCCTCTTTCATTGACTTCTTCCACTGCCCACAAAAGCTGACTTGTGGGAGCCACCTCTCTGAACTCTGGGAGAGAGGCAACGCTTCCTTGTGAGGGAGCCATCTGGTAACAACACGTAGCACTGCCTTCATCAGCGAGGGCAGGTGGTCTAAGGACAGGGGACCACATCCCATGTGGCGGTTTCAGGAAAAGGTCACCAACCCTATTTTTTTTCTTTTTCCTTGTCTTGGCACAGTAGAATTCCTAAGGGGGCATGGTCTTTCTTGATCCTTTGATGACTTTTCGTGCACTATACGTTTGAAGTAACAATAATGAGAACAGATACTCATGTTTTTCTTTGGGCAGATCTCCTTTTAGCAAGCATAGATCAGAAAGTTAGTAGGTATGTCACACCAGTGCTGGCAAATGAAACAATCATCATTCTAAATCATTCCCATGTAGTGATGTACTACTACAGTAGTTTCATCCAAGAGCAGTTCTAGGTGCTACGCAGGGAAATATCATAGCATCTCAGCCTTTTTAGTGCCTGTTAGCAGATAAGCATGTATGGAAAGAGACATTTTCTAAAAGTCTTCTTCTCCTATACCAGGTAAAGTAAGAAAATATTTCTATAATCAATTATTAAAATTCTAACAGCACAAAAGTTGTGCTTAATACAGGCTTAAAAAAGCAGCTACATGAATTTGTAATAACAGATACTGCCTGATGTCTGGGAATTTTCTGAGAAACTCTTACCTTGGGTTTTCTTAGTCTTTCTAGTGTTATTTATAGCTAATTCTACCCACATTCTTCTACCCACAAGCATAAAAGTAAGCTTTTACTGCTTACTTCTCATCCAGACAATGTTAGATTGCTTCTCTGAACTTGGGCCACCTCAGATCACGGGGTGGATTGATTTCCAGTACATTAACTGATTCTTATTTTGTGTTACGAAAGGGTTCCTCTCTCATGGCATGCTATTCCTTTCCATTAGAATCCCACTGAAGCAAGACTTTTCTGTCCACCAAATGCCTCCTAAATTAGACTACTCCCATGCTTACAAATGTAATGACTTTCAAAGGTTTGCTTTGTTATGAAAGCTTTGTTATGTTTTCTTAGCTTGTTATGAAAGACTGCTGAGTAAATAACATCACAGCTATTTCAATAGCATACACAATACGTAACAATATGGAAAATACCTAAAATTATTAAATATTATTAGCAAGTTAAGCTGAAACTTTAACATGTCTTGATAGCCCTTAATATTTTGGTCAGTACTCTGTATGGAAGAAAGACTTTAAAGTGGAAGTCCCCCTCTCCCCTCCACCTTCCCCAATATATGTTTTACTGGTATGCTGCCAACATCTTTCAGCAGGGATTAGTCTATTAGGAATATTGCTCGGTATACAGTAAGGCAAATACAGTTCCAGGAGCCGTAATAATCATTATGGTGTAAAAGTTTGCTGGTAACAGACTAAGGTCCGTGCAGTGACAGCACAGCAAGTTTTCTTTTGTATCTTAGAAATGTAGCTGCAGTTTCTGCAGTTCTTTTCCTGTTCTCCCTTTATCCACTGTTTCATGTTGTCAGTATGCTGGCAAACTCTTTGGGGTTTCAGCTGGAGCCTTGTCAAGTAAGTTGAAAAGAATTCCATTTATTGTTTTTACTGCATACCTTCCTTAAATGTAATGGCTCCGTGAAACTATTCATTTCACTTCAGTGTAGCTGGCTTTTATTTTCTATTACCGCAATTATGTTGCAGACTGTTTCTAAGCCATTTCTTCTTTGTTTTCTTTCAGGCAGAAGAAAAGGCGCATTCAGAGGTAAAAACTTTTCTTCGTTTCTATAGTTGTGTACTGTGTTATATTATTTTAAAGTTTATTTTTTATCTGCTATGGCTAAGCTGCTGAATTGCTGGGGAAAAAGACACCCTGTGTCTTTGTACCACTTTTTGAGAAGAATTGGTAAAGAGCCGATGCAGCTTCTAGTGTACTAGAAGGTGTTTTCTTAGCATCATGCTGAAGAATGCCTCGGCTGAAGTTCTGAAAAGGTGAAAAGCAGCGATGAGAATTGGGCTTCTGAGAGGAGGAGTTGCGATACGTCTGATTTCAGACTTAATACCACTCTGTACTGGATCTAAGGGACTGTGCAGTTCTAGGTAATGTGCTGCCTTACAGGAGAAAAATACTTCAAATGTTCGCTTTGAACTTCTCTCCTTTACATTTTGCATTATATTAAATTTCTGAACCTGACCACTTTGATGGATTTCAGAGCAACGCAGATTGATTTCAGATATAAATCAAATCTGACGTGGAAAACAGCTTCTTTCTCCTCACAGTGTATAAGAATGGGTGACAAGCCAGGGTCAGCAGCTGGATACAATTACAGTCTTTCTCAAAATGAAGTCCTGGTTGTATTAGAAGGGCACTAGGGAGTAGCAGCAATAAAACGCAGCACCAAGGCTTGCACTTCCACTTCACAGAGCTACATGTCTTCCAACTCCTGCACTTATGCTGCTACTATTTTTACTACTCTAATCAGAGAAAAAAAGTCAACTAAAAGATACTTTGAGGAACTAGAACAAATAAACATATTCTTTCTTACTTGCCTCAATATATTTCAACATAATTTCTACCTGAATTTTCTAAGCTCCTTTCTCTGAAAGTTAAAGCAAAGCAGCTAAAGAACCATGCGGTAGCTCAGCAGTGTAAATCACAGTTCCTCATTTCATTGCCCTTTTTTTATAGCCTGTATATAGAGGTGAAACAACATTTCTTTCCTGTGTATTGCTACATGTTGTTTTCTCAGTATCTTGGTCTGCTCTGTGATGCTGTTGCAGGAAATGTTGAACATCACTTCATGAGAACTGCCTTTGTATAGTTGCAGGAATATGATGAAAGAGTAGCTTAAGCAGGAAGGTCAAATAATTGCTATTAAAAACCAAGGAGAAAACTTGGAAAAAGGAAAGCAGCAGTCCAGGATGGAGAACAGCTCAATAATCTGTTTCCCTTGCTCTGAGCCAGTGTAAATGATAGTTATTTTTGTATCATACATGTACAGGAACTTGCTCATTCTTAACTCTTGTGTAATATTCCCTGTTGGTTTTCATCGAGTCATAAAATTAAAGTACTGCAATAGTCTTCACTAGTGAATGTTATGTGCTCCCTTTCCTAGGCTAGTTTTAGACATTTTACTTCTCTAGTCTGGAATAATTTCTTTTACGTCTGAATACGAAAGGAGTTTCAAAGTGAAACTCCATGCTGGGCTTAAGTTCAGTGCAATGCCTGGAGTCCCTGTGAGATCTCAAATAGGGTTAAATGAGCTTAAAATGATGCGCAAACTTTATGCTAGATATATGCCCTGGCTGAAAGATAACTTTCTTAAGGATTCTATTTTTCATAAAAGGATACAGGAGCCTTGAGTTAAGTTTATTTTCATGTCAATAGGCACATTTAAAGCAACATTTTTTTAAGTTGGCAAGCAAGTTTGTGAAAGATATATAAGGTTTAAAGTGGCTGCATGTTTGAATCACAGGCACTGTAGGAAGTACTGTGTTAGAGAAAAAAAAAATAAATTACAGTACCTCATCTAACTTTAGACATCCATGAAGCAAAAATCTGTGTCTGAGGTTGTCATCAAAGCCTTCTTCATGCCAGGCAGTGGGAGAGTACTCTTTGGCACTTCATCTGAGTCTGACGTAGACGTTTAACATATGTCGGTTGCATCACTTCTACAGTCAAGCAAAGGGAAGATTATTCAAATTCTTTTGTGTGTCATAATCTCAGGCCTCATCCAGGGCTGCTATCATTGATTGCACTAAGGATATGTTCGGAACTTAGGGGATTTAGTAAAAAACCATGTCATTTACGTGTGTAAACAGATGCTTGTACATTTGTCCTTATGTGCTCCTTTAACTGGGATCCTAGCTCATACACTGTGAAGTGCAAGAAAACTGTTGGAGCAGTGTTAAGTGCCAACTTTTAATAATTTGTATTTCTGAATAGTTCTGAGATTCAACTGTGAAACTAAGACATTGTAAACCTATTAGTGATCGATCCCTTAAGAAAACGAGACAAACCAAAAGAAACCCCACAACAAAAGGAAATTGCTGAAATATTGACAGAAGTCTTTCTTCCTTCTAGCAAATTCAGAAACTACGGAGAGAGCTGGTTGCATCACAAGAGAAAGTTGCTACCCTTACATCTCAGCTTTCAGCAAATGTAAGTATTTTCGCTTGTGATCATAAACAGTATCAGAGAATACATTATCAGACTGGCTAATAGCTCTTGCTCAATTCAAGTACCAACACATGGTCTGGGAGACTTTTATTATTTATTTATTTAGGTGTTTTTCAAATTAATTATTTCATTAAGTGTCTGTATTGCCTGAGCTTGAAGCAGAAGAAATCTTGTAATAAAGACAGTGGAAATGGAAATGAGAGTTTCCACACTTCAGATGTGATGACAGTTCAGTTTCAGATTCTTTCCTCAGAATCAATTAAAAAAGCACCCACAAATAACGAGACACAACCAAAGAAAGGGCATGAATTGTAGATGCTGATAGAATTCGTTATAGTTTCATTTCACAAAGATAAACCCTGCAAAATGCAGATAGATGTGGAGGGCAGTACAGTACACAATTGCATATGGAATTCATATGCTGCAATAACTGTGCTGATAAGTAACGAATGGAAACTGGGATATTTCACAGACAGCTCCCTGGTGTTCCTTCCAATTGTCATAGACCAGTAGTATGAGTTATTGAACATGTTTTCAGAAAATAATGCCAGATAGGGAATGTGAGCTACAATCCTCTGGTTACTATGGTTTCTGATGAAGTTACTGAATAGTTACTGAACAATCTGTTGCAATTCAGGATATAACTATAGCTAACATTCCAAGGAAAGCTGAGATGCAGTTGCAAGAGAGTATAATTTTGCATTTCAAGAAAGCAGTTTCCTGATATCTTGGGCAACCTATAGAGTGCCTTTCTTCAATATGCAGATGTACTGAGTATTTAGATCTATAAATACTGGCATTATTTTCAAGAAATTATTTCAGTTGCTGAAGTAGTACTGTATTTATATTGTGGGAAAATAATTTCTAGTTGTGTGAAAGCTGCTTGTTCTGTTAGGACTGCCATGTGAAAATGTGGAATAGCTACTCTTAGCACTTTCTGCTCTGTTCAGGTGGCTGCAGAACACCTGTGGGTGTTTTGTAGCCCTGTAGCAGTATGAATTGCCAGTCCGTCCTGAGTTCTGAGAATGAACTAGTGAGGCAGACAATATTAGAGTCCTGCAATGTTCGTAAATTCAAAAGCTTGATTCTTGGTTGGGTTATTCATTAGGGAATTTATAGCCAGTGTACCTATCTTCGCTGTGGGGTTCCATCTCTCATGTGTTTTAGACACTGATCGTCATCTTTGCCAAATTGAGCAATCCTTCACTCGCCCATCCTGAGAGCCACAAACTAAAACCAACACCAAGAGGTCAGAAGAGCTAAGCCAGCATGCCTCGGGTAGTCGTGTCAGCTGACAAGTCCGCTGTTCTCTGCAGTGCACTTTTCGTTTTGCCAGAAACGCAGGGCTTCAGCAGCTCTGCCTTGTGGTAGAGAGCACAGGGAGGTGGACTGTGGCTGGGCTTGTGACACAGCACAATCACAGACATCCCCATGTCCACTCTGAGTACCCTGTTAATGCCCATGCAGCAGCAGCTGGTATTACCCAGAAGAGTTGGCTTCATTCCTGCAAGCGCCTGATCTAAAGATGTCCCTGCCCACAGCCGGGGAGTTGGACTAGGTGATCTTTAAAGGTCCCTCCCAACCCAAGCCATTCTGTGATTCTGAGCAGTGGTGCCACATCAGCAAGACTAAGTTGTTTGCCTGTGGTGGGCCTGTGCTCAGGAGCCTGTACTAGAGCTGGTGTGGAAGCCCCTCTGATGGGGATAACTCGGGCTCTTGGTACCATGCCTTACTTTGTGGGCAGAAAAGTAGTTTGCCCTTCTCTACTTCTGCTTGTTCTGAACAAAAAGAACCAGCATGTTCCTTCCTGATGATGTGTTGAAAGATGACTCTCTTTAGTCTCCATCCTTTAACAGTCCTCCCAGCAATCCTGTAGCCTATAATACAGTGAGAAATGCAATAGAGTGAGGATGGCAGGGCATTCTTCCCTGCAGCTGAAGCAATGAGGCTGCTGTTTGGTTCATTTGGGCCAATTTCGTCCAATTTCTTCCCAGTCTTAGTTAGAAGTCATGGCCTATAGCACTGGTCAGTATTCCTTTGTATGGGCTGAACACCGTTCAGACTGGTATCTAATAATATTGCTGGTTCCAGACAAGTTTTCAAAGCCAGCTCCAAGTTACAATTAGATTTGGTCCCTATTTCGAAGAAACTGAGTCAAGCTAAAAATGGATAGTTACATTTTGGCTTGGTTTTTACTCAAACTAATTCTGCTGCATGGGTGAGAAATAAATGGGGTTTGATCTGTTTAACTAATGTTGTGTTGGTTGAGGATCTGGTCGCTTGCACTGCCTCTGGACTTCTGAACACCTAGTAAGAATGCCCATAGCTTTTCTACTGCTCTAATTGGAGCGGTAACATTGTCAACAGGGCAGTTAAAAATATATAGATGTGTGCATCTGGTTTTGCCTATCCAGAAGTACTGCATTTGTTAACCTGCTTGTATGCGTATATAGATGTGCATGCACACTGTATGTTGTATAAAGGTTAATTTAATCACATTCTTTTGGCTGTGTCACCCACCTTCTAATCCATCTCCATAGAGACAACCTTTAAACTCTAAACCTATCAGCAACCCTAAAGCTGATCCTTTTAGCACATGGGGTTTTTAGATGGTACTAGAGAAATCTTTCCTTTTTCCAAATCCCCAACATGTGGAAATTCCCTCAAAATTAAACCTGTCAGGAGCATGAAACTTAGAGGCTTCAAATTCTCCAGGCATGAACAAGGGATTTAGACACCTTCATGATGAAAACAATCGTAAAAGAAAAGTAGATATTGCTAGATATTATAAGTAAGTATTTTGGGGGTTACTGTCATGAAATATATACTTTAAAAAAACCAAAAATTGAAAAGTATTTCACAATAAGCCTGATTCTGAGTTCTCTCTCTGCTATTTCTGGTACAGAAGATGTAAAGCATTAAAAGAACACTTCCACATAAGCCCAAAGGATCAAAAGAAATCCCTTAAAGATGTGTTAGTACTAATTCTGTCAGTCCTTTGAGCACTTTATGTAAATAAATTCTATGAAGTATCACTTAAACATCAGGAATAAAATCCAGGTTGAAAACAGAGTGTGTATGCAACTTTGAATTGTGATATGGCCTCTGAAATTTAGTCTAATTACAGAACTGATATTTAAATGTCAGTAATTATATACTTTTCATAAAAATTATGAGAGTAAGTAACAAATATCTGATTTAATATGACAAACTTACAACAAACCCGGGTGGGCTTCTAATTTTCATGACCTTGTACTGTCTTAGCAATTTTGTCTATAAAGTAAAAATATGCTTTACGTGCATGTCTCCTTAATCTAAGAGACATACTTCACCAGCCCCTGGCATTTAAAGGGGAAATAATCCTAGTCACAAAAGCTGTAATTTATCCTCAGAGAAGAAATCAAAACCATATTTCACTCTCTAAATGGATACTGTGACCTTCTTTTTGAGTCACATTTGCACTTCAGTAGGCTAAAACCTGAACAAACAGTAAGTCTAATGCAGAAAGAAGTTTGGTCACTCCACCTGTCTTTTCTGTAGATACGTCCATCTCTGGCAGGCAGAGAACTGTATGACCAGAGTATCTTCTGCGGTGCCTTTGCTGACCGGAAAATTACTCAGTCCTTTCTGATGCCTTTGCTATAAATGCAATCATCTTAGCCTTAGTCCTAAGCTCCTCCAAATATCCATACTTCCAGTGTCTGAAAATAGGCAGCACTTTTTTCCTCGCTGTGGTCTGGAGAAGGAACCTATTAATAGCCAGAAATCTTGTTTCCTTGCAGTTCATCTCAGACTTGAATTTGTTGTTACCATTTCCCTTTGTAGAACTGAGCAAAAGTATTGTATGCGAGAAAAAAAAAGACCATCTTATTAATCTCATTTTAACACTATTTGTATCCTTGTTTCACCACGAAGATTGTTGGTGACAGTAATACATGTGTCATTAAAAGACTGTCAGGCTGAAATTTGACCTATTTCATCAAACCTTTGCTTGATCTACTATTTTATATCAAAAACTGTCAATTGGAAGTTAGTTACAGCATTTCTCAGGCATTTTGGAAACCTTTTCTTACTTGGTTTCAATTATTATTCAGGTTTTGTTGGCTGGACTCAAGCACTGTGCTTGATTTCAGCAGTTTATTTCATTTGATTAACCCCAAAGTGTTTTGCCTGCATATGATTAAATTCAAGCAGGGCCCAGCTGTTGTTTGGATGCTTAATTTACAGTTTTTTTCCTGAGATTCTGGCTTTTCCCCTGGTGCCTGTTTTGATGTTGCTGAAGGGCAAATCTCAATACTAATTAAGAAAGGGCCTGTTTTCAGTGCAGAAAGTGTCCAACCAGCAGACTTCCTACATGACTGACACGGGCTCAGATTCCAGCGAGCAGCCTGAACCTAGCCTGTTCGGAGGGACTTTGATCAGTGCTTTGTACTGAGTAAAGCTGAAGGGTGCACGCTTGCAAACTGTAGTAGACCCAGGATGCCAGTAGAAAGCGGAGGGGGTTCGCTGGCTGATACTCTTGTTTGGCCAGCTCTGAACCACTATCCCACAGCCAAACAACAAGATAATAGCAGGCGGCGAACAGAAAAGGTCACCAGATGTACAGTGGCTTCTTGCAATCAGCCCGATCCCTTCTGGCCTCTCACACCTCCTTTCATTCAGCCGTGCCAGGTGGGAGGAAATTTATTTATTTACTTCTGTTTTATAAACCTGAACACCGCAGGTCAAATCGTAAAGTGTGTCAGCAGGTAGTCTTTGGGTATGCCAGTGTCATGTTCAGGATGGGCTGTAAAGCTGAGAGCTGAGGTATTTGGGGTTTGGCTGGCGGGCATCCTTTACTAAGGAAATGTTTAAAATTAAATCTGTCATCTTGGCACCGACATCATTCCCTGAGCATATATCTCTTTGACTATTTCCAATGGGAATTTCACATGTTACTAGAAGTCAAAATTAATCCATATGTGATGGATCTACAGATTAAGAGCTGTACATTTTCTGTGTATCTAATGTATATCATGTTAAAGATGAATATATTTTGCTGGAGGCATACTTCCAGTAATGCCCAGTTACTTAACTCTAATTCCAGTATATATCTATTTCCAAGTACAGATGTCCCATTCAATTGTGAAGATATATTTTTACTTTAGAATAAGTGTTATTTAAAGCACATGCAGTGTTCAGGCTATTTTGTATGGTATTCAAGTGACATATGCCATGAATGAAACTTGATTTCTAAGGCATGAGGGATTGGCTGTAACTTAAAAAAAATAGTTCTATTCCTAAATATTTTTATGACAATGAAAGGATGGATCCTTTTGGATCAAGTAAATAATCCTCAGAGTCTGAGGATTATCAATCCAATCAAAATCAATTACCAAATTTAGAAGTGTAAAAGAAGTTTCTAATTAGAATTTCTAATTTCTAATGAGCATTCGTAAAGTCACAGTTACTTCTTTCTGTTTCAATTGTTTTCTGAATTATTTTGCATTTAACAATTTAAATGCAAAGTCTGATCTTAAATAGGAATATATACATACATATGTTTTAGGTATACTTCCACAGACATATAAATATACTGATACTGTAGCCTTTTTCAAACTAACTTTTCTTATTTTGTTACATAATATTTCTTTTGGGACAAATCTGCATAAGATTTCAACAAGTAGGAGTTCCCTAGACTGCTGAATAAAAAAATGTTTGCTACCATGGGGAAAGGCAGCACAGTTTATTACTCTGAATGTAAAACTAATACTTTGTATTTCATAGAAGAGTCTTCTGTTGTAATAAACATTTAAAGTAATGAACAATGCAATTGAAGATTTTTTTCTCGAGTAGTCTTCAGTTGATGGGCCTTTGAATTAAGTTTCTTTATTATTAGCAAATCAAGACCTGATAGTCTTTATCTCAGATGAGTCAGGAAAGATCCATCATCTTGATCCAATTACCTTTATGATGCAAAAATTTTAGTGTGCTACTCCAAGAAGGTCAGGTATTCTATCACAGGCTGAATTTTAGTAAGAATCCATAGTTGTGAAATGGCTGTCTCTCCCTAAAGGCTATCAGGCAATAACCTAATAGTTTCAGTGACCTTTGATGACATTTTTAACGATGTTTTTTAGTTCTTAATTTTTCCAGAGTTCCTTGTGGTTTATTCATGTACAATATAAGCTGAAGTTGTAGCTGTGGAATAGGAAAATACTTTGCGCAAATATGCATAGTTAGGTACCAAAGAACTGTGGTTATCACAGTCTAATTGTGAGAAACGGACAAAAGCAATGCATAATTAAGCAAATTATTCCTCTTTTCAAGCCCTCGGTCCCCATTGTTATTCTCATGGTAAAGCAGAACCACGGGCCATCAGCCAAGCTATAGATTTTTTTATGAGGCAGGGAACAGTGAGCTCCATTAGTTTCCTGTTAAACACATGTAATGAAGAGACATTTGGCTATAATTCTGTGGTAGTGCATCTACTTTGTCTCTGATGGTGTTCTGGGTCAGTGGTCATCATCTGTGGAATTAAAACACCATAAATTAGTTGGATATTTTTAATATGTAGCTAATTATTAAAGTGAAAAGAAAGTTTAAAAACTAGTTATTTTTATCTTCTCATAGAAGAATGAAAACAACCGAAGGCTGTAGTTTCCAAACTAGCTAGAATAACTTTATATCGATTGACAGGTTTCAGAGGTGCATTTGATAGATATTCCATGTTCATTTTATTTAAAATTATAACTTCAAGAATATAGTCTAAGTTATAAATTTTAAAATAGGAATATACACAATTACTAATTAGTCCTTAAGAAATTGCATATGTATCTAGTCTCATGTTTATAAAAAATTAGTCCCTGGGGTACATACCCTTTACCAAAAGAATTATCCCTAAGGCATCCCTGCAGATGCTGAAAGCAGGTGGATTGACCACTATACCCATAGGTAATTAATAAAAGTATTTACTAATAATATAATATAGAAGGAGTAAACTTATAAGTTTAACAAGTATAAAATAAGAAGTTTACAAGGTACTGAAATGTTTATAGCAATCCAAAATGATTTACAAAACACGAAAGCCACTTATCACTATACCAGCTCTGAAGTGGAGACCCAGAAGTGGGCCACTATTACATATACGATAATCTTTTTTATTTGAGGAATAATATACAGAGCAAGGTGGAAAGAAGCTCTTTTCCTTCTCGTAATGTGCATAACAGAATCCATTTTGGACTATGTCTTTTGGTGGTTATACCTCAGATTCAGTATATGCACATACGTTTCAGCAATTTCAACTATGCTTGTACAAGCATGCAAATCTGTAACTGAAAAATTTGCCAGGCACTGTGTGTGCCTCTACTGCTCTAATAAAAACTAATTTTTCTCAGTGAGGAAGCTCAGTTAATCCATTTGTGCATATAAATATGTTGGTTTTGAGTTATATTTCCAAGTGTATTGTAGTGCCTGTGTTTGAAAACTTTGCCTATTACCACTTTTGAGATGGTATTTCCTTCTGCTTTTACTATTCGGTGTTGTGAGAGGAGCAGATGGTATTTCATAAAAATGAAATTCTTACTTTCCCTTGGCTGTACAAGCTGGCTTAGCTTGTTGCTTTCTTTATGACCATTTGCCCTTCTTTGCCTACAAAGCTTGATTTCAGTTAGAAGCGATGGAGAGTTGATGTATATTGTATAAATTTGTATAAATTTTGCTTGCATAGAATATAGGGTGAATGTTGTTAGGAAACAAAATGAACCTTTAATTTTTTTAAAATCTTCCAATCAGTTTCAACTTTATTGCTTTTCTTATTCAGAAGTAGGACTTCCAATTTTCAAGACTGTCTTTTGTATATACATTTGCACACATGTAATGACCTTTTACAAAACTAACTGTGATATTTTTTGTTTGATTCTCAGGATTCCTCTGGAGTGTTTTATTTGTGAGGTTAAAACTTACATTTTAAGATAAAGTACCTGAATTCCCATGTTGAAATGTTCAATAATTGAAAATAATTGTTTCTGGACTTCTATTTGGGAACAGACTTCTTTTGGTCAATATATCAGTAAACTGAAAGCAGGGCATTAAATCCGTAATTAATCTCCAGGCAGGGATAGCTAAGCTAATCTCCTTGGGGGCTAGAGAAGCCTGAGGAACACTGGGCTCACTTGACTGCTTCACCTATCCAAGTTAGCTCAGTCTGAGTTTAAAACTAATAGAAAAGAGCAGGAGAAGATCAGCTTGGAGGGGGAAAAAAAGAAATTAAAAAAAAAAATAAATAGATCTGGGACAAAGCCCAGAGTGGGAGTGCTGGGTTTCACAGAGTCCAGATATTGTTTGTCCAGCCAAAATGTATGAAACATTCTGTGTATTCTTGAAAGTTGTAAAGTGCATTTAAGACCCATTGTCACAATGAACGTTGTCTTCTGTTTCTTTCACAGGCTCATCTAGTAGCAGCTTTTGAAAAAAGCTTGGGAAATATGACCGGCCGATTGCAAAGTCTAACAATGACAGCTGAACAAAAGGTACGTTTACCAAAGCAGATGCTTTAATGTGGAAAACAGTCAGCAGATTATATTAGAGTTTTGTTTAAAAAACACTGAAAGGAAACAGGGACAGCTGTGACAATAAGACAGACAGATCTTTCTTTAATGGCCATTGTGATCAAATCTTCATAAAGCTCCAAGAGAATTCAACTGTGCAGCATCAAGTTTACCCAGACAATATCATAGAATAATTTGAAGATAAAATCTTTCGTTTCCAGATTTTAATTAAAACATATGTGACTCTAGGTTTAATCCATACTGAAAGATCCTGTAACAAAGACTGATCATAACCTGCTGGAGTGCTTCATTCCAGCCTGCCAGCGTTGTCAGAATAATAGAATTATGGGAAGGGAAGAACTTTAAGTAGAGAAAAATTACTCCATTCATAGTGTTAATGCGGGTTGGGTATCCTATTCATGAGGAAACAGTTTTGGTTTTCACTGTGCTGTTTTGACTATCGAGGAAAAAATCTAAACCTGCTAGTTAGTACATTTAGTGTGAGCCTTTGTACCAAGCTCAGGATCAAGAGGCTGCTTAGTACCTTCCAGGATTGAACTTCTGCATCTTTCTGCCTATACTCATTTTGAACAGCATCCTATAAGCAGAAAGGCCTCATTGAGCCAAACTGTGAAAGAAACTCTATATCAGTGATCTGTTAGTCACCACTGGAGTCAGTGTAGCTGTCTATAAAAATAACATTTCACAGTCTGGTTGAGCACCAAAAGATGAAATATGGTGAGACCCATTGTGAACTGGATAGAAAATATTTGTATTGCTTGCTTTTTTTCATCTTAAGCAGAAAAACCACAACTGAATTTTCTTAAAACCAAAACCTTTGACTATTTTACAAAATATAATTTACCTCAGAATTTTTTCTTTCCGGAAGAGGTTAAGCAGTGAGTGACATTGAAACAGATCATCTCCAAGCTTCTTTCCCAAAAGATTTCTAACATGTTCTTTCCTTGTCATCTTTTGTCTATTGTTGAGGTTAAATTCCTTTAATCCCCATTATATAAATACAGGCTGGAAGGACAGGTTTAATGCAGCAGAAATAAAAGCTATTTTTAATTAGAATTGGCTGTGCATTCTAATACAGAATTTCCTGCACACAAGTGGAGTAATTTTACTTCAACTTGCAGGACAGTTGCTATTAAACAGGGTTTTTTAAAATTGAATTATTATTTAGCAAGTTAAATCTTTTGAAAAATACACAAATTCATGTTGAGAGTCATCCATTAAACAGTAGCCTCTCATACTAAATGATGTAATTCAAATGGTTTTATTGTCTTTCACAATAAAATTGTTGGGTTTCTCTTAACTTTATAATGAATATTGAATTGAGACCCTTTTTAGATTAGTCTTAAAAATGTTTTGTTCTCCGTAAAAACATGAGAACGCTTTATGTAGAATAAATGCAAAAGAATACGTTAGTTGAGTTTAATATCTTTGGCAAGAAAATATGCATTCTACTTAGTTGTTGCCCTTATGTTCACCCAAGCAGTCCCATGAACTTCGGTTTGACCACTCTTATCTTGTAATTTTTTTTAGCTTAGACAAACATTGTTCTTGTTCCATATATTTTGAGCTCTCTTTGCTCTTCCCACAGGAATCTGAGCTTATAGAGCTAAGGGAAACCATTGAAATGCTGAAAGCCCAGAATTCTGCTGCACAAGCTGCTATTCAAGGAGCCCTGAATGGTCCTGATCACACCCACAAAGGTATGTTTTTGTCAGTATTAAAATAAATGCAGAGTTTCTCCCCAGGAAAAAAGCTAAGTCACTACTTTTCTGTTGTTTTGGGGACTCTGTTGCAAGGGCAAGCACATTCTCCAATGCATGGTAGGCATACTTGTGGTATTTCCAGAGCTGGAAACCTTGCATGAGCTTCCTGTTTGCCACAGGGTTAGTTCCTGGAGCCTTGTCTTCTCAGAACTGGGTGGCCAGGAATCCATTGTTGGGGGTCATTAGTTGACCCAGTTGCTGCAGTTGTGTATTGAAGTACACCCAAGATGCTAATGAAGTCTTATGGCGAAACATGGTTATACCTTGGAAATGCAGCATAAGATGTAGCTCTGAAAATTGCTGTACTCATTGTCAAGAGATGGACCGACAGCAGCTCAGCTCCTTCACAGAGGGCTAAATCAGTGCAGGAAAGCAGACATTTTAAATTCGGAATTAATTTCTCATTGCAGTTAGGAAGATGTCACATGATAAATATATACTTCAGAAGTGCCTGTTGATAAGCAACAGCAAAGGAATGACTTGAAGAAAAAAAATAAGATCAGCATTCATTTTTGAGAGTGTCATTGATCTTTCTTTGAAGAGGTCATTATTTAGATGTTTGCCCTAAGGTCATTTCATTGCATGACTTGAATATAGCAAAGCTAACTTCTAAGAAGTAAAAAATAATCTAAAAAGTAATTTCCCTTGGTATTAGTGAGTATGTTCTGCAAGAATATTTTCCAGTGATTAAGATACAGTTATCAGAGAAACTTTTAAGAAATTGAAACTCAAAAGCCTCACCAATCATTTCTAATATTCTCCACTTCTTGGTTATTTTTTCATTCATTTTTAATGAAGTCCTGCCTGCTTATTTCCATCATGGTGTATTAGAAGGTAGCATCTGATCACTGATTAAGCCTGCTACAAGTCAAGTAGTCCCTATACTCCTCAGAACTGTAGTACATGTGATAATAATAAGTCAAGTAATCAATCTGTAACAGAAATTGCTTAGATATGAGGTTATGCCTGCATAGATTGCTGTGCAGGGTCATCGCCTTCATGTCAATAAGACCCCAGGTTGGAGAATCTCCTAAGTGTTAGCGTAATTTTGTGCATCACCATTGACTCCCGTGTGGCTTTTCAAAGGCTGCAATAGCTTGAATCCAAGCCACTGCAAGAATCAATGCCATTTATGTTCATTTAGGCTCCCTTTGAGGAGAAAGATGCTACATAAATACAAGAATGATTATTATATTGAAACAGAGACAGATGGATTTCACAGTATTTTCTTTTCTTTAGATTTACGTATAAGGCGGCAACATTCTTCAGAAAGTGTTTCCAGCATCAACAGCGCTACAAGCCATTCAAGCATTGGCAGTGGTAATGACGCAGACTCCAAGAAAAAGAAAAAGAAAAACTGGGTAAGTGCTCAGCAGGTTTAATTATCTTTTAGCTATTATGTCGTTTCCTAATGCCTGAGTAGCATAATGGCCCATTTCATCTACAATATTCTTGTGGGGCCAGACAGATACAAAGCTATTCACGTGTATCCATACTGTGACACTACCAGCAAACTAAAAATTGTTGAGTATCAGTGGGGAATTATTTGCATAAGTCAGGATAATTTAAAAAAACCCAACCAAACCGAATCTAAAAACCAAAACTTAAAGTAGCTGTTGTGACCAAAACCATCTCTGGGCCACATCGAGACCCTCTTTGATTTTTCTTCAGTCGGAGTTTGATTCAAAGACTTGACTCAAATATGTTACCCAGCTATGAAGGGAGTTAAAATCTGTTAAGAATACTCATGTAAAAGTAGTACGGTGTTTAAAGTAATTAAGATGCTTCTCAACTGGAACATACAAACACCACATAGTGCTAAGGGTTTAATCAAATACTTTCAGTAAATAATTGGAAAATATGTTTTTGTTGTTTTAAAAATATTACCTGCATAAGCATTTGTTTTAAAAGTAATGATCAGCCTTCATTCCCTTGATTTGTAATTCCACACTCTATCTGCAAGGTGAACTCTAGAGGAAGTGAGGTGAATATAAACCATGGAAAATTTGGCATGCATCTATAAAGAACCCTATCTTGGCATGATTGCTATTTATTTTGGCAGTAGGCTTTTATACCTTCTAAAAACAGATTATCCTGTATGTCTTCTCAGTTTGTCTCTATTCATTTTAATCTCAAAGTTTAGACTATAGAAAGGGGGAGTGTAGCCAAAATCCATTTCTTTCTCATTAGATATCATGAGCTGGAAAGGACTTAACTAATGTTTCTCTGATCAGTGGTCACACTCCCCACTCTCCAATTATATCGTGAAAATAAAATCTTTGAATACCTCATTTTTTATAGAGGAATCAGTTTCTATGCATTGAGTTCTATGCAATTTTAATCAGAACAACTTTCTGCAAATAAAAACAAAAACTCACCACATTTTTCCTAAGATGAACAACTTCTGTATTTAGACAAAGGTATCAACGAATGGGCTAGTTAAAATTCACTGCAGATAAAACTGTTGTCATCTTGGCTCCTGAAATAAATGGCTCTTTGGCTATTCTGTCCCTTTTCAATACTGGATAAGGGCTTCTAGAGGGAAACAGCAATGCTTGTACGTTCAGATCTTACTACTTTAAAGGAAACTGCAGCAAAGAGTATATACCTTTCAGCTAACATTCTTCTCAGCAGTACAACAAAGCAAGCCTCATGTCCCAGCTTAAATCCTCTCGCTTGTGATCCAAACCACAGCATTTGCAAAGTTTGGCCACTCAAAATTTTAACGGGGAAAGTAAATTGGCAAACCCAGTAAATTGGACTTGTCTTTTGATTTCAGCATTTAGTAACAGCAAGTTCTGCCTGTACCTAGATGCAACGTGGTTATTTAAAGCCAGCCCTTGAAGGGAATGCCATGGGAATGGGATTCCACTGGGATTCCACTGGGGCTTAATGGTTTTAAATGAGCACCCCTCTCCCATAGCCGTACCACTCGGTCCTGCACTTCTTCCATAGCATTACTTTTGCGCTGCGCTGGATTAATAAAGTCAAAACAAAGCACTGTATCATGTTTTTAGAGATACTGTGTTGCATATGTTAATACCTTGCTTCTGTATACTGACCTCAGGCAGTGGCTAGGATGGCATCTGCAAACTAACTCTTCGAAACATGAACTGCACACAGATTGCCGTGACGAGGAAAATAATCTTGCTCTATGTTTGTTTTCCAGCTAAGAAGCTCTTTCAAACAGGCCTTTGGAAAGAAGAAGTCCACCAAGCCTCCTTCCTCACATTCAGACATAGAAGAGCTGACAGACTCCTCTCTTCCTTCATCACCCAAATTGCCCCACAGCTCAGGAGAGTGTGGGGCAACATCAATGAAACCGTCACAGTCAGCATCTGCGTAAGTCTCTCTCTTGGCAAACCTTTCTTCCCAAATGGGATAGACTGCGAAACAGACCTCCTCAAGTGTGGCCATTTGCAGTTTAGAAACCATTGTCAACAGCCGTGATCTTTTAATCTCATGTTCCGTCCATTTGCCAGACTTCTCGTGAGCTTCGCTCCATTTACATGCTACTTTTCCAGCAGTTCTTTCTTAGTTCATTCTCTCCTCCTTGCACAGCCTTTACCAAAAATCATCTAGCAGTACAAACTTCCTTCCAAATGCATATCCAAAAGCTTATGTTGTGCTCTCTCTGCACCATTAATAGCTTTATTGTATCAAGTTAGAAAAGGCCAAATACTACAGTTTCTTTTCTTCATGACATACTAAAAATGTCATTTTATTTTCCAGGTAGCTATGAATGTTTACAAGATACTCATCCCTTCTGTTATTACTTTATCTACTTTGTAGCTACTCATTTATATACTTTTTTATCTATTTCGCCTCTTTTATCAGCTTGGATTTTTTTTTTCGGAATTTTACTTTTATTTTTTTATTCAAATCACCATCCTTAAGGTTTCAGGACTGACAACAAGTCATCAGTCAAAAGCTGTCCGATTTCTTTATTATTTTTTGGATGTCTAATATATTCTTCTTACAGAGTTCTCAGCTCCCATTCGTATTCTTCTACCTATTTTCTTTTTCATTCTGCTAAACTCATAACTTTTTCTAATCTGGGGAAATCATCCTCTTAGAACCAACAAATGCACACTACTGATACCAGCCCTACTTTCCTTGTTCTAACTGAGAATAATCTGGTCACAACTACTCTTACTTAAAGCACCAGGGGAATTCTAGTCTCGTGACTGATTACTGAGCTTTAGATCAGAATTTCCTGGCATTAGGTTAGGTGCCTTTTATGATTAACTTTTTATAGACTCTAATGATTTTTATATAGTAGGTTTAGGAGTTTGACAGCAAATATTCCCACAAAGGAAACCCTTCCACAATAAATGTTTTTCTTTCCTCACATTCTATAAAGACTAGTGAGGAGTAACTCATGTAGATCTCCAGTATTGTTGGATTTTTTTATAGGAAGCTCACATTTTATGGTTTCAGGTATATGTGTGTTTTGGGAGGAGGATTTCTACATGTTTGGGACCCTTCGGTCTGATTTGTTACCAACTTAAAAATCACTAGTAAAAGCTTTAATAGAAAGTGCCTGAACTTAAACAAAACACTTTTATTCTACAAAATTATTTATTCATGATTCACAGATCTGCTCCCATAACTTTATCCTGTTTCCCTTCTGCCAACCCGGCTTTTTTCTCTGACTCTTTGACTTGCTCTCCAGATCTACTGGTGTTCCCAAAATTTATCAAGGGCAAAACTACATATTTAATCTTGCATCCCAAGCTCTTCCCATGGCTACTTGGTCTCTGAGCCTTAACTTCCTAAATTCTGTCCAGTTCACAGCCTTCTGATTCTTCCTCCATAACATTTTTAAACGCTGATCTTTCTGATCATATTATTCCATTTTTTATTATTGTAACCTTTTTACACAGGATATCATAGATTCCTTCCCTTCCACAGAGAGATCACATTAAACATACTTATTTAGAATAATTTCTTTGTCTGTTATACTGATAAAGTTACTTTGGAAGATTTGGTTTTTCATTGCATAATTTAAGCATCTGTCACCTTCAAGACTTTTCATAATTGTCAGCAGCCTCTGTTCAAAGATCATGACTGACTTACTCCTTCTACCCAAAGGAACCTATTGATTTAAAAATCCTGCGACTGTAACAAGAAAGAAAAAGTAAAACTCTTTCTAACTACTTTGGACCTTTGTCTGAGGTCAGTTCAGGTGTCCGAGCTTCTTTCTGTGACTGCTCAGGAACGCCGACTTATCTTTTTGTTTTTCTTCCTTTTGATGAAGTCTCGTCTCCTCATGTGATTTTACAGTTGTAGGAGCTGAGTGTTGAAGAGCTCTGGAATCTACAGAAGAAAATTCAATTCATACTTTCTGCTTCCATTCTGCTTATCTTACTAGTCTAGACAGCTTTTTCCTGCTTCTTCCAGAACTGTCGCCCTGCTTTCTGCTTCATTTTTATCTTCCTTAAAGCTGGCTTGCCAAGATCTTTTTTTTTCCATCCCTTCTCAAGACATACTGCAAAAAAGCCAAAAAGAAAATAGCAAATAAATAGATATGTGACTTCCCAGTTGTCCAAGTTATTTTATGAGATCATATATGCATGTAAATAAAATTTCATTTCTTATTTGGTTAGCATAGGTATGGGCACATCAAACCAAGAACTGTATCATAATATTTGGAAAACATCCTAGTATATGCCTTTATTCATTTTTACTCACATTTAAAATATTTGTGCATGTTGTGAATGATATTATTTTCCTTCTTCAATTTGTCATAGTTTTTTTATTTGCCATGAACAACTTCATCTTCCCTTTGCTTACACTTTATATATTTTCTCAACCTGAGTCTCATGTTCTAAACCATTACCTTTACTTTCTTCCAATTGCATCTGTCTAATACGTGTGTATGCAGGTCATCTCTAGTCTGGGCACCAAAGAAAAGGCAAAACGGTCACGTGGTCTACAAGCATAGATCCCGGTAAAATTGAGTGTGGGGCATGGAGTTGTATACCCAACTGCTGACCTGGAGAGTGCTGCATCTTCTTTCCCAAAATGCATTTGCATGCATTCTGGCAATTAAAAGTTGACCTCTGTTTCTTGTTTGTATATTAGTAGTAATAATCACAATAATAATACTTATTATTATAAAATCTTTTTCATCTTTAAATTGTTCTGCAAATATTAACTATTTATAGTGGCAGTAATAAAGAGCGAATAACATTTAGTGAATTGACTGAAAATATTGCTTAGTATAACAATGTAGCTAAAATTCAGTGGTTTATTTTCTACTGGTTCTGTTAGGCAACAGATCTAGGTCTGATAATGACACAGAGAGGCAAAACAGCCTGATGTGAGAACTGGACAGTTGTGAGTCCCTGGGCCAGTCGTGCTTTGGTCTTTTCTCACAATATAACAGTTTCTTCCCTTAAAATTAATGCTTACGAAAAATAATCACATGGTGATTATTTTTAATCTAGTCTTTAAGAAAGAAAAAAACCAACACCCAAAATGTCAACCATCATAAATCAAAACCATTACAGATCAAAATCTTCTAGATCATGAAGTCAAGGACTGTCTCTTTGTGTACTGTTCAAAACAGAGAAAACTGTTGGTGCCTAATAGATAATAAATATCAGTAGTGCAGTTTAATCAGCATACTTCAGTTCTGACTGTTGCTACTTAGAAAAATCATAATTTTGCACCAAAGAAATGATGTAGATATAAAATAAAATTAAAACCAATGGGTGATATATGCTCAAAAAAAGATTTCTGAAAAGTTTTTAACAACTTTTTTTCACCATAGTGAACTATTGAACTTAACTGCAAAGGTATAAAGCAAGCTGATCATTTCATCTGGTGAAGGACTTTTTCCTTTTTTAATTTGCAATTTGAGCCTTTTCATGTTTCTTTGATAAGATTCTTTCTTCACTCATAGGTTTCACCAGCAGCAAGCATTTTCTGTACTTTGATACTTAGTAATGACACCGCTTTGGGGGGAGAACCTTCTTTTAATCTCTTGCCTGTTTCCTGCTCCTCTTTAGGATCTGTGAGTGCACAGAGGCAGAAGCTGAAATTATTCTTCAGCTAAAGAGCGAGCTGAGGGAGAAAGAGCTAAAATTAACGGACATTCGTCTCGAAGCCCTCAGCTCTGCACACCATCTGGATCAGATTCGGGAAGCCATGAACCGCATGCAGGTCAGTGCAGTAGCTTAAGTGATGGCAGGGGTGCACAGCAAAGGTATGTCTGGTGCATTTCCTTTCCCAGTACTTTGTTTCAGTCACCCAAAAAACGTCGATACAATGTAAATTGCTAGATTGACAGCACTTCCAAAAGATGGGTATGATAAGTGTTCACATAATAATAATAATAATAATAATAATAACAACAACAATAATATTCTTGACATATTAATAGCTAAAATGTGTTTAAGAGATATGGAAGGAGACATAATCCCTGCCCAAAGGATGTTTGTTATCTAAACCCTACAACCAGGGAAAGCAACATGACAGACAAACAGATCAAGAAGTGATTTCTACAGAGCGTTAAATCCTTGGGCCGTGGTGGGGGCGGGGATATTTGTGCGTACTCTCTCATTGTTTCTGATTCCTAACCCAGTTGTGGCTTGCTGAAGCAAAGTATGTAAAACTGAGCTAAATTATTGTATCCAGCATCACTAAAAATTCACTATATTATTTTGTGACACTGCTCCAAATCCTTCCTGAACACATTTTTTCATCAGAAAACTTTCCCTTTCATGAGGCTGAAAGGATGCTGAAAGAATGGCAGTGTTCTTCAGTGAAGCACGGAGCTTTATGAACTCAGCTCTGTTGCCTATGTACAAGTGTTTTGTATCATGTTGGGTACCCAAAAGTACCTACAACATCAACACAGTATGACACAGGTCCTTCAGTAGATGTGGGCCCTTCTGCAATGACAGTAGAGATACCTAGGACATCCCTGAAGGCACTAGAAAACTGTGTTTGGGAAACAGAATCAAGGCCATGGGGTGGGGATTCAGGTTGAAACTAGGACAGCTACATTTAGATGTCTGGATATGAGCTTGGTGATAAGCTCCTGTTGTAGTCAACTGAGGTTTAGTCCTGCAGTAGTGGGGCCTAGAGAGCTATCTGAAAATCATCCTAAGATAGGTATAGAGGGTGAAATTGAGTTGTCTGAGCATAGGCACCTATTACTGTTTGAACCAGCCTCAGGTATTTTTATCTGCACAGGACTTGTAGGTTTAGCATTTGACCCATGGAGACTGTGTTTACAATGACGCTGGAAACTCACATTTACACAGCTGAATCCAGCCTCAGTGGCTTGTCAGCTGAATTGCTCTGTGCTGGGTGCTTAGGTTAGGTGCACCTGTAGGCACTTTGTATAGATGTCCACAGTCTCTGACTTCATAACTACCAGATTTGGTATGTTTTCTAGCTTTTCTACACCTCTTTGTTTATACCATGCTTATAGCAGTCTCAGCGACACCTTTACACGTCTGTGGTACTCGCCATCCTCCCAGGTGCTCACACCACTAGGTGCCTATAGCAGTCTCAGCGACACCTTTAAACGTCTGTGGTACTCACCATCCTCCCAGGTGCTCACACCACTAGGTGCCAACATGGCTATGGGATACTTGGCTGAACTTCAATTAGGAGGAAGAATGATCAAGAATAAACTGGTCCATAAATATGGGTTTCAGTTGTCCAGACATAAGTAAAGCATTTGATATGGAGCCGCTAAAAAGTTTTTAGGAACTGTAAGGGATAGAATACAGTTAATTACAATGCTGGAGAACAGGACGTGAAGGCTTATCAGCTGATTACGGTCTTACACTGGGGTATGAGTGCCTAAACCAGGTGAACTCCCCAGAGAGAGGAGTCTGCTGGAGTCACAGGCCTCCAAAGTTTGAATTTCACCAAAGCTGGGCAGAGGTGACTATTTCAGATGCTGTCACTGATAATCTCCACTTCTTCTGAAGTTTTCCTGAAAGGACAGGCAGCCACCTTGGAGTTGCCAAACTCTGTGATGTTTTGGAGAACTGATGAGGATTGATAAGTGGAAAAAGTAGGATTGGTGGGAATACTATATGAATACTGTGTGTATTCCAAGCACCTTAAAAATCTAAAGCTCAGCTGAATGGAAGACTGCTAAGTGTTGTGTAATTAATCTGTAAATTGCAGAGTAGATAAAGATTGCATGACTCATTTCACCATAGTTCCTGATTTGAACCCCAGGCTAAACTGGTGCATTCATCTATTTCCTTCTGTCACTATTTTGCTGGTTCTTCCCTTCCTTTGCACTATGTCCTCACCTTTGACTATATGATCTAATCTTTCTGTAGCTGTTGCGGGATTTTTTGTGATGCTGTCCCTTATATTTTTACTTGTATAATGTATCTCAACAGCCTTCATAAAAGAATAGGACTTTTAGCAGAGTGTTAGTGAATGTGGAATTAAATTTGATGTGCAAAACCATCTGCAAGAATAAGCAGTTGCTTTGTACTGTGCTCCATGAAGCGACTGGGAGCTAGATCTAGCTGGTACCAGCCTGTTCTCAGGCTAAGTTTTCATTTTATTATTGTACATTCAATAATCACTTGGCACCACAGAGGATTTAGGTAAAAAAAAAATTCTAGTTGTTCTGATTCATCTGTCACTGTATGTTTTCATCAAAGAGGGTTCGCTGGCCAGTATGTGAACAATCTGATGTTCGAATGATTAAAAAGTCTTATCTGATAGCAAGAAGAGTTATGAAACTTTTAAACTATCAATTTCTAATAGTCTATTTTTAATTTCATTTCTCCTCTGTGAAGTTACGGCTTAAATTTTACACTCAGTAATAACTTTTTGTGACTTTAGAAACATTGACATGTCTAAGATTTTAACAATAACTTTCTTAACTGACTATTACCTAAGATACTTGATAATAAAAAGTAGCTTATAAAACTGGGGATACTTGGATTATGATCAATTGTACAATAGACACAAAAGCTTGAAGCTTGAGTTGTTTAGGAACTGTCTTGAGGCAAAAGCTAAAGCAAGGTTATAGGGATTTTTTCCCTTTTTCAGAAATGAAGGCAATCCAGTTTTCACTGACTGGGTTATAATTCTGTTATATAGTGCTACATACTGCTGTGAAAGTGGTAAACCAGTTAGCTCCTGCAGGCACACAGCAAGCACCAGAATAGCCACCCCCAGTGGTTTTCTGAAAAAATAACTTCCTGTGCTTTTATGCTGATTTCTTTTGAATACAGAATGAAATTGAGATATTGAAAGCTGAAAATGATCGTTTAAAGGCAGAGACTGGAAATACTGGAAAGCCTGCCCGGCCATCATCAGAGTCTTCAAGCAGCACATCATCTTCTTCATCACGGCAGTCACTAGGACTTTCTCTGAACAATTTAAACATCACAGAATCTGTTACATCAGGTAAAAATATTTTGGGCACATGCATGCCTCAGCAATTAGTAAGAATTTATTATTTTCACCCTCTTAATGGTCTATATATAAGAAGCATGCCTGAAAATTAAAATGCCTCATATCACTCAGGTAAACATCAGATATACACTCACTAACGGACATGAGGAAGAATGCTGGCAGTCATTTCTGAGAATGTAGCTTTCAGAAGACTCTGAATAATAGTAAAAAGATTGTTCATTATGTTTGCTTAGTTCCTAGCTATGATATTACCTACCTAGTTGGTCATCTAACTACTCTTTGGTCATCTAGTTTAAAATTTATTTGAAATGGACAATGTCTGTTGTAATATACTTGACAGCTATACAGATACATTCTCTTGTCTCTATGGGACAAATATGAGCATAGTACATGAAACTTTCTTCTTTTTTTGTTTACAGATCTTTTATCATTCAGTTAGCTCCCTTCACTTCATTTCATATTCACAGCTGGGGCAGAAGGTGGTCTCAGTTAGCTTTATCCCTTACATTTTTTTAATGTGGTATAGCTAGTTAGCCTGTTGGACCAAATCACTATTTATCACAGGAGCCAAACCCCGCCTGGCTTACTAAGCACTCTGTCTTCTGTGAATGAGAGAAAGCAAGCAGAACTTTGGTCCACATTCTGAACATTAACATTTGATTATTTTCCATGTCATAGAGTTTATGATAATAAGCCTTCTATACTTGTTTTGATAATGTAGCCAAGAAACAGAAGTGCTGTCTCTAACATTAGAACCAGGAGCAGAGCAGAGCAGAAGCAAGGCAGCGCTCATTAGCATAGACTCCACAGAAAGTATAATGCAGTCTCTGGAAGCAATAAAAATGTGGCTAATAATTGCAGAAAGAGTCTAGGCAAGAGTACAGCTGGGAATGTGCCAAACTGCCTGACTATAATTTGGATTGGCAGTTAGTCGTATTATCTTGCCAGTCATTGATTTCATGGATATTTGAATATTTCTTCGTGTTAATGTCAGATTTTATAAGAAAATCGATATATTTTTTATTTACATTCCAGCCTACTTTTTTGCCAGGTTTAACTTTTAGAATGGATTTGCCTGGGCTGGGTCTCAGTATACAATGAAGTGTTGCAAAAACAGGCAGAAAAAGTTTGACTATGGTTCCTGCTCACACATTCACACAAATTAAAAAAAAAAAAAAACAAAACAACGGATTTATTTTTTTTTTTTTTTTTTTTCAAAATGGTAATTATGGAATCTCTTTCATGAACGGCAGCTATTAGCACTTTGTCACTTGGTTCTAACTCTGTCTAGATACAGGAATAAACATAATATAAGTTTTATATAATTTTCTGTGTTATTGGTTCTAAATGTTTTTCTAGCATGCAAAGTAATTACTTTTGGTTATAAGAAATTAAAGAAATAAGGGTGCCTAATGAGGAGTGGAGGATTTCATTTGATTATGAATCCAGCCTTTTTTGATCATTATGAGTATCATTTTGTTGCTGTGCCAGAGAACTTGAAGGGTGACAGCTTCCTACCAAGTCTTGTGGGATTTCTGTGGCAGCTGGAGTACTATTGAATAAAAGTCCCTGAGATATGGAGAGGTTAATCATGCTGGGGACTAAGCTGAGAGAGAGAATGAGGGCTTTGGCTCATCATACTAAAAAATGCTGTGGCACTTTCTGGGAGACCAGTATGTCCAAATGACCGTGGTCATCTGGAAATGACCAAAGCTCTGCATTGCCACTTCCCAAGGGTACGACCATCTCCTCCAGACAGGAGTGAGTGGCAAGCTGGGGAGGGGCTCGCTGGTCACAGACACCCGTATTTCAGTCAGTCACTGGAGTGAAGAGCAGCAAACAAGGACCAGTACAAGACTCTGTCTGTACCTTCTGATGAAAAGAGTGCCAGAGCTCAGGCATGAAGAGAGCCAGAGCCACTACAGTGCACCTAAGGAGGAGGCTTGGCAGGAGCCCATTTAAGCAGTTAGTACCACCATGAATGACATTCGACCCTCTTGGGCATCTTCTCAGCGCCTTGTGTCAGTGAGAGGGAGAGCTCTTAGAAAGTGGAATTTTTTTCTAGCCACAGAGTGGTGCCTCATTCCTAAAGACTTACAGAAGAGATGTATTTAAAAGGCTACATGAGGGTCATCTAGAGATTGAAAAATTTCACAAGGGGGATGCAATATATTGTAAATTGCCCTCAGATGAACTGTGACATTATGGAAACTCTTAAGGTTTGTCCAATATGCTGAAATACAAGTGAAGTGAAACATTCAGTGTTGGTGGCACAGAAGAACTGGCTGCCTGGAAAAAAACAAGCATAGATTTGTTTAAGCTCACAACAAAAATACTTCATTCAATTAAAAACAAAAAAACAGCAGCAGAATCTGATTTCTAGATCAAGATGTAAGCTGTCAAAAATTTCACATGAGGACTTATTTTTTAATGTATTCATTGAAGTCATGTTCATAAGTCTTTTTTGGTTTTGCTTGAGCAAGTGACTGAATCTTACTGGCACCTCATTTAATTTAGGTGAAATATGACCTTGTGCAGACTATGACATGAAGTCGACACTTTTCTTCAATCACCACAATAAGAATGAGCAGGATTTAGGGTAGTGGATTACTGTGCTGGCCTTTGAAGAAAATGCAAATCCATAATCTCTCCTAATTTGATAGTTTAAATGTCTAACAGTAAAATCTATGAGAGAACTTCTAGAGGAAGACGGCAGTTTTACCCCTTGCAATAAAGCTGCAGGTTCAGCCTTCAGTAAGAAATACATCCTTCTGCTTTCTCATTTTAGGAGTTAGTGAGGAGGCAGAAACAGAGGCACAGAGCAGAATCACTTGTTACCTCCAAGAAAATTAAACCTTTTCTTAGAGGAATGGCTGAAGGCAGAGTCCATATTCTGGAGTAACGTAAAGTGGTTTTCTAATGGATACTGTTTGTAAACCTGTGTTGTGGGGGTAAAAAAACTCTGTTCATGCCATGTGTACGGAAGGTAAAGAAATCAGCTGGAAAGAGAAATTAAAATGCTGTTTTACTTAGCAGCAAACACATCAGTGCAAGGATTTGTTGCTTTTCTCCTTATAGCATTCTGAAGGGCACAATGCGTGCTCAAAGATATAAACTTAATTTAGGTTTTAAACAACATTACTTTGTGGACATATGGTAATTTTGAACAAATTCCAAGAAGGAAAGCAAAGGCAAGAATTTATTTATTTATGGTTTCCTGATTCATTTCTACATGATTAGAGCTCCTAATTTTGCTTCAAAAATTGGCAAATTGTAACTTCTTTTAATCTCCAACAGAAAAATTGAATTAGGAATAAGTATAAATTAAAATGATTGCAAGTTGTTGTGATGGCAGCCTTTCTTTTTAACCAAAAAACCCTTTGAACAATATTGAACTGATGTGGTGAACATAACTGATATGATTTGTCAGGTTGATCACTTTCCTTCCTGTCTTTTATTGCAGATATTTTGTTGGATGATGTCACTGATGGAGCACTCCACAAAGAAGGTCATAGCGTGAAAATTGTAGTCACTATAAACAAGGGCTATAGTCGAGCCAAGGTAAGTTCATTACTCAAAGGTCTAGATGCCGAATTATATCTCAGGCAAATCTTGCATTATAGTAACTCAACTTGTTTCAGTATTTTCAGCCAGGAGCTGAAGGGAAATATCCTAAAGACAGCAGCTCTCTTCTCTGTCATCCACGCTCAATACAGTTAGGCAGACTCTGTAGAGTATCGTCATATGGCCGCCTTCTGCCTTTGTGGTGGCTCAGACACTACCAAAGCTCGGTTCAATTAGTAGTAGGATGTTCTGGGACTTGCTATCTCCATTTAAAGGTCATTACAAATTAGATCCATGCCTTGGACCCTTTAGGGTGGAACTATGAATATGCTGTTGAGGTAATCAATTTGGAATTGCATCGTAATGTTTTCACATACTGTGCTACAAAAAAATTACAAACACAATGAACTTTTATTATATTCAGCTCTTTATAGATACAGATACAATCTAAGAGCAGAATAAGATACTGTATTTCCTTCCTTACCAAGATGTACCAAAGTAATATCATCTATACCTATTTCTGGCACAGATATTATTAACAGAGTTGTAACATCACATTCTAAGTAATATTATTTTTCTTCATTGGGAAAATGATGAATCTTCATAGAAAACTAATTACCACCATTTTTAGTCCAGTTTCCAAAAATCTCTCTTTGTAGGATCAAAAACCACATGCATATCTGATAGGATCAATTGGAGTCAGCGGAAAAACAAAATGGGATGTTTTAGACGGTGTAATCAGACGTCTCTTTAAGGTAAGACAGTGAAAAATTAGCTCAAGTATTAATTCATTTTTATTTTACACTTAAGAAAAAATGTGTATTCTTTGGGTTTCCTTGCCAAGTTTTTGCTTGGTTTTGGTTTTTGACATATAGCTAACACCACTATTAAACTTTATCCTTAATGGTGCTGTTCTTTTTTCACGTTTGTTCTTTTTTCACATTGCCTTAAATGTGACTGCAAAAATCTCCTTGTCAAGTGACTTCACCAGTACCAAAATTTTCCAAACTGCATTCATTCAATAACCATTTTTATTTTTATGTCTTATGTTTTCATATAATTTCAGGAATATATTTTCCGAGTAGATCCGACTACTAGCCTGGGTTTAAGCTCTGATTGCATTGCTAGCTATTGTATAGGGGATGTAATTAGAGCCCATAGCCTAGAAGTGCCTGAACTGCTGCCTTGTGGATATCTGGTTGGAGATAATAATGTCATCACTGTGAACCTGAAAGGTAAAACCCCAAGAATATTTTTGCAGATACTGTAGAGTTTTTCACTGCAGTCCCCCGTCCCTTCATATTTCTTTTCTTACTCTTGACCTTCCTGTATTTTGTCTCCAGTTCAAGGACTCATTTATCACATAAATTCTCTGTATGACATTGTACAATACCTAACACAGTGAGGCATTTTGAGGCAAATCTAAGAATATCTCTGTCCTCTGCCTGACTGCCATATTGCAGCAAAGTACAAATTTCTTAAGAGTGGCAAAAAAATCCAAACCCATAACAGAGATTATGATGAGAAATATTTATGCCTTACCCAGTTCCACAGGAAAAAATCGATACATTGCAAAAGCTGTAGGAATTTGCTATTGGAGGCAGGCTGGGGGGCTTCAGAAGAACTACACATACATCGATGTGACAACCGGTAACCCTCGTGGCTGTCACTTTGACCTTTTTTTTGTCATGGTTGCCTGCAGTGTCTGAAACATACATCTTTGCCTCACTGAGCCTTCTCTTTACATTTACTTTGATTTCACCTCTCCCACCCATCTCAGTGGTCTAACTACCACTGTTTAATTTTTTGGCCCTGTGGAAGGTTATAAGCATTTCCACAATAATGAAGCCCTTGATAGGAATTTGATTTAGTCAGAAGTATCTTACCTTGCTTTGAGCATGGCACTGATGCCATCAGGTGCTGGGCCAAACATTTACCTGCCTTAGAAAGGATGAAGACAGGCCATTTTTCTTCTCTTTTGTTTCCAGGAGTGGAAGAAAACAGTTTGGACAGTTTTGTGTTTGACACATTAATTCCTAAGCCAATTACCCAGCGGTACTTTAATTTACTGATGGAGCATCGCAGGATTATTCTGTCGGGACCCAGTGGCACAGGAAAGACCTATTTAGCTAACAGGCTGGCTGAATATATTATAACTAAATCTGGCAGGAAAAAAACTGAGGATGCAATTGCAACTTTCAACGTGGATCACAAGTCAAGCAAGGTAAGTTACAGTTGAAAAGAAAACCTATTGCCCGATTAATAGTGATGATGCAGAGCAGATCCTATTAATTGCCATACAGTTCTGTTGCTCAGCGTTTTTTCTTACAAGAAATTCAGTCTCCAATCCCAGTGAGGAACAGGGACCAGATCTTCCTATTTGAAACAAACCTTTGAAGCATTTTGAAGGAAATCTGAATTTTCCCTCACTTGAGGAAACCCACCTTAAGGATGGATAGAGAGTCAAATTCCCATGTAAATTAAGTTCTCAGAGTGTCCGTAATTCCTTCATCAGAAAGATTGGATATATAGTAATACTAGTCTAAATTGCTTTTTTTTATAGTGATAATAACAGCCTATTGTGAGCAAATAAATACAACTGTTACCACGGTTTCTGGTGTGCATTGGTCAGGAAGCTGACCATACTAAAATTACCTCATGCATCATGTCACATTCACAGTGATTTACATAGCTCGGATTATCAAGCTTCTAGCACGACTACTGTGCTAGCCACAGATAATACTATTCACTTGCTGTCCTAAATTGGGTATACTCCTAACTTGGTACCCAGGGAAAAGAAAATGAAAGGTTTTGCCCAGAGCTTTCTGATTTGTGCAGAACATAATGAATGCTAACATAAGAAGGAAGAACACACAGATCCCAAAGGGATGAGAGGACCATTATTCCAGTAAAAACACTGCTTTTCACTGTCCTTATACAAAGGATTTGTGATGCCATTTACTTTGGCAGGGGATATGTTTATGTTTTATTGTTCTACCATATACATTTATAATGAAAATTGTCCCACAAAGAGCAAGCTTTTGGATTTCTGGTAAATTACTTGTTGTATGTGGTTTTGGTTGTGGGTTGGTTTTGTTTGTTTGCTTATTTTTTCCTTTGTTTCTATTAAGATTGATATAGAACTTTTGAGTTTGTAGTAAAAAAGAAAAAAACCTACATTTCAAATACCAAGCATGTTTAAATAATACAGATGGTGCTATTCCATGGAAGAAACACATGATGTTCACTTAGAGAAACCTGGTCATAAAAAGCTAAACAAAAATCTTTCTTGAAATAATAAAGATTGCATGTTCCCATTAAAGGCAAAAAGATTCTGCTATCCCTGATCCCGGAAGTAAAACGACAATAGGAACTGAGCATTCCCAACGCTGGCAAAATTAGATACCTCTAGGGATACAGCTGTAAAACTTGAGTAGACCAGACCCTCAAGGGCAACAAAGTGTTGAGAAAAATATGAAATGTGTTGTTGATTATAGATAGCTCTCTTTTACTGCAGCACTAAATGGCAGCCAGACAGCTGACAGGAAAAAAGAATTTACACAACAAACTTTATTATGAGGCGTGATGCAGTATCCCCAAAAGGTCAAACAGATTTTCAGTGAGAGTGGTGAAAGGAGATATCTGAGGAAACTGTTCAGTATGACTAAATTGTGTGATAATTGGGGGGGGGTGGTAGTATATAAATGTGGCATTCATAAAAATGGAGGTCCAACAAGTAATCTATCTCATCCCATTGGAAATGGCATATTTTATTGCAAACTATATTCCATTAGAGATAAGATATTTTATCAGCAGGTTTCTGAGGAATGTATCCACCACATAGGAATGTGTATGCTTCAGTCACTTGCTTTATGTTTAGTGCCTTTGTTTTTCCTAGCATGTGGCTTCAGTGTCGCTCTATCTAAGAAGCAGGTCCTCCTGCATGTGCTGATCCAGCTGAATGACCCACAGTGGGGAAACTCTGTAGCAGCCTCTTTATCCTTCTCAAAATCTTTTCCACTGAAATTACATCTATGGTCTAATTGGGTTAATCTGGTCTTTTTTGTTTTGGTTTTGGTTTTTTTTGTTAATTCTGCTGAAGGACCTGCGACAATACCTAGCAAACCTAGCTGAGCAATGCAGTGCTGACAACAATGGTGCTGACCTCCCTGTGGTCATAATTCTTGATAACCTCCACCACATCAGTTCACTAAGTGACATCTTCAATGGTTTCCTCAACTGTAAATATAATAAATGGTAAGTAGCAGCTCTTCTCTCCCATTTCACACCTTTTGCAATTAAACCAGTAAAAGCTGTTTGTTATTTTGCAAAATAAAATGTCCCACTGGAAACTCACACTCCCATAGGCTGTTGGCGAAGCCCTTATGCACTTGAATAGTTTTGACCCTCTTCAGACAAGTATGTAGGTGTCTGCTTCATTTTATTTATATGACTCCCATGCATCTCAGTGAGATGCAAATGTATCACAGAATTTAAGAATGTATTTAAATGCTTGATTGAATTAAAATCTTATACCTTTCACCTTGTCAGATCATATAAGCTCATTAGTACCATGAGGACAGGTTATGGGAGAGTAAGAAGAAATACACGTTATAATAGTGGAATTTGGGATATGTGCGAACCCATGAACCATGCCATGCAGAAGCAGCTGTTTATCTGGCAGACTTGCACTTCCTAAGGTTTTTCTGTAGTAGTGCAGAAGTTTGAAGTTCGCTGACTGTCCTTTATTGCCAAGCAAGAACAAAAATAATGTTTTCTGGAACTTTTACTGGCCTGTAACACCAGCTATTTCTGCTGTAAAAGTGCCATCATAGGAACTTCCCTTCATAAAATCACTGCATGCTGTATCTTACTCATGAGATTCGCTGGCTTCTGAAATTAAAACTCTAAGCCTTCTGCAAAATTATGAGGTACATGAGGACAGGGTTGCCTCATTTATTTCTTTATTATGGATGAGTACTAGTAAACTACAAATGTGCAGAGAGGGAAATCATTCGAGAATAAACATTTTTAAAAGGGCGCCTCAGAAATATTTTAAATCTAAGACTACAGTACATCCAGAGACTCTTTTAAAAATTGGCCTAATGCAGATAAGAAGAAAGAATATTCTCTGAGTATTTTCATGGATTCTCCCTCAAAAAAACCTACTACTTTTCTCTTTTCAGTCCCTATATTATTGGAACCATGAACCAGGGAGTTTCTTCTTCACCAAATCTGGAGCTGCATCACAATTTCAGGTACATTCACTCTGTATTTACTGTGGCTGTGTTTGCACAGCTCCCTGCTTCTCAGCCCAGTTCTTTGACAAACATTGATCTCGTGTATCGTCACAGCAAAGTATTTTAGCTTCTGTGACTCTCCTCTGTTGATGGGTCTCCGAATGGTGTTGGGGAATAGTGAAAGAAATAAAATACTTTCCAGCACCTCTAACAAGATGCTGAAGATGATTGCATTCTCGCATTACATTTGTCTTCAGCAGTGTCTTAAATTCATGCTGAAACTTGTAATGATTGTGTTGTAGCAGTGGGCGATAATGTGGTTTATTGGAGCAGTGTTATATTTGTTGACTAATGAGACTTGGAAGCTTATGACATTACCTTCATTTATATGTTTAAGAGGAAATGATGTATTTGCTATTCATTGCTACTTGACATTTATCCTTTCTACCCAGGTGGGTGCTGTGTGCTAATCACACAGAGCCTGTTAAAGGTTTCTTGGGCAGATATCTGAGAAGGAAACTGATTGAGACTGAAATAGAAAGGAACATACGCAATAATGAGCTCATCAAAATCATTGACTGGATCCCCAAAACATGGCATCATCTCAACAGCTTCCTAGAAACACACAGCTCTTCAGATGTAACCATTGGTGAGTCCATTGATGGAGTGGTTTGAAATAAGGATGCAGGGTGAGCATTTTTGAGATTTGGGAAAGTTATAGCTCTTTTTTAAAGTTATCATCTCTCAATGGGAAGTACAACATCAGTGTGGGGAACTTGTCTGCTTACCAGCAAGATTGAAATGAAAATGGAATGGTTTATGTATGTATTTCCTGGTACTTCTGCCTTTGTTGTTAAAGACTTTCAAGTAAATTATCGTAATTTTTAAAAGTTAAATTTACAAAAAATTACCTCAGTAGCAACTTTCCTAAGCTTAATTTTTTCCCCGCTTTCACACTGCAGCATAATTATAGCAATGAAAACACTTGGACAGTCAGTTCAGCAAACTAGCACATGGGAGATGTACATGTACCTGAGGTCTTATACTGGAATGGCTATCTTAACAGAGAAGTCATCCTTTTACGTAGCTTTGCCCGTAAAACTTGTAAATCAGGCCATAGCATAGGATAAAGTGACACTAGTTCATTTTTAATAACAGGAGACTGATAGCTCCTTTATTGTAGTCCTGTATTAGTATTCTCTTCACTTGAGTTTGCTCCAATATTACTTTCTTAATTCTGTGAAGATTGTTTTTAGTGTGTTCCCTAGTTCTACTTTTTGTAATACAGAACTTGACTTCTCAGGTCCCCGCCTCTTCCTCCCTTGCCCAATGGATGTTGATGGCTCCAGAGTGTGGTTCACAGACCTCTGGAACTATTCCCTGGTGCCGTATCTTCTGGAAGCTGTGAGAGAAGGACTTCAGGTATGTCATTTGTTTCCCAGCAGATTTTTTTTAATTAATTTCATAGGCTTTCTCCAAGCTACTTTTAACCAATGCATCCAAGTATGAATGCTGTTGCATTTGCAAGAAGAAAATCTGTGGAGGGATTATAGAAATCAGCCTTGAACTCCATTTGCCCTGCTCTTTATATAGTCTAATTTAACTTTGTCTGCTCCAGCAGTAGCATATCTTGTATTTTATGAAGAAAGTTTCTCCTCTGTGACTGGAGGAAGGTTCTTTTTTTTCCACTGTTTAAAGAGTTCACAGCAATGCTAAATACAGCTCAGATTGCCTCCCTGAGTCAAGGCAGTTTCAGCCTACCCCTGCATGGAAGAGTTAATAGCCCTTACACTGGTGCAAGAAAATAGCTTTGGTCTGCTTAATCTTTCCCACCTACATACACATGTAGGCACGCAGGCTTGTGGAGGAAAGCTTGTGAGCAAGGATATTTTCACCATTGAGAAAAAAAAAAATATTTACTGGCCTTATCTAACCAGATTGAGATAGTTTACTCTTTGGTGCTGCTGAACATGAAGGTCTGTCCCTTTTTACCCTTGTATCTTGCACCCCTGCTTGTATTTCCCATAGTTCTGTTTCTCCTTTTTTCTTTCTCTGTATGGGCTAAGGTTTTCTCCTGACTGTAATTCTCATTGTGGGTAACAGTGCCATCAGATCAGCGCGTCGTTCTTCCCTCCGACCTATCCTTTCCAGCGCGAGGTGTTAACAGCAGTTCCATTGACTGATACTGAACTAGTAATGTTTCTTCTACTTTAATAGAGAGAGGGCTACAAATAGATTTGCTGTAGATAGCACTGTAAGCTGTCCCACATAGGTTAAGATTTTGGCCCATTCCACATGTTTGAAGCAAACCTAAATCTTTAAATTAATCCAGATTTTTCTTTTTTTTTTTTCATTTTTTATTTGGCTTTCTTTTTCCTTTTCCTTTTATGCATTGCAATTCTATGTCCTCTGAAAAGACACTTTGTGGAAAGGCAGGTTTTATGCCACACATGACACTGAAAGAAATTACTGCACAGTGCAGAGGGGATTGTTACGGACTAGTCAAAGAACTGTGTAAGCAGCTGCAATTTCTTTATCACCTTGTATTGACATAGTGACATACTGATACGGTGGAGGTTTAGAATCTTGCCTCTTGAATATCTCACGCTTCCCTAAAACTGCTTACCCCTCTGGGAATTACAGAGTGTTTATGCCTTGTGCAAAAAACTGCCAAACAGCTGATAGAACAGTCACAGTGAGATTAACAGTGCTTGTTTAGACCATCTATAAAAATGGAGTGATATTCTTCATGCTTATATTTTCCCAAGTATACAGGGTACCTATTTAAATGAAAACTTCAATTCTGGAGCAGAAGATGGCAGCATACAGAAGAAAATATGTTGTTTCATGAACTGTTCCAATTTTTAGCTGCTTTGGATGGCTTCCACAGAATATCATTATTAATAATAAACAGAAATCTTTTATATGATATAATTAGATGTTCCTGGAACCAGGGACGGGTAGAAAATGGCTTTCTAGCCTGGTACTTTGCAAACTCACTTGTCAGACACAGAATTTACAAGCCTTGCTCCAGATTCCAGAAAAGATTTAATCACTGTTAATCTCAGACAAGGGGAAGTGCTGCTTACAGCCTGGAGTTAGCCTGCTACCCCCCCAAGAAACATTTCCTCTTGGGTTATTTAGGCAGATCTCCGTTATAGCAGCCTGGCCTCTGTGTAGGGCAGAAGGAGTCTGAGTATCTCTGTGCATAAAACAGGGAACTTGGCTGCCTAACCAGGAGCTCTGGATTCAGCAAGTGCCTGGGAGCAGATGGTGCAGTGATAAGCACAACTCATGTCTCTGGCTTTAGCACGAAAATCCTTCACTGTTTTACTCCCTTTAGGAGTGCAGCCCATTGAAATGCTCCATGAGTGTATGCCCTGCCAATATTATGCTGTTCCTTGGATTGTGTGAGGCTGTTTGGGCTGGGAGAGGTCACAGAAAGTCCTGGTGACTGGCTCCCCATCCCAGTGTGTCATTGTCACAGGTAAAGGAAATCTGTAAAGCAGCGACCAAGGGGCTCTCGGTTAACATGTTGCTTGTGAACAGCAATGTGGAGAAGGGTGCATTTTACTGAGGAAGCTACCAGACCTCCTAAACTTACAATATTCTCATTCTTCCTTCCTCTGTCCTCCTTCCACTATGTGCTTCATATTAAAGAAAATCTATCCTTTGTGAATTTCTTCTCTTAACCTTGTGAAAGATCTCAGACTTAAGGTGTGGACAGATGTCTGCTTCTGCATCCCATTTTGCTAGGAGAAGAGAACAATCTGTACTGGCACTTCCTAATTCACTTCAGACAAAATCCAATTAACTTGAACATTTTAGATAGGTCTGAGTTAATTTCACTGATATGCCTTAAGCAAATTACCTAAAGGTCTCATTTCACATTGTATCAAAAACTTGTGGCTCCCACTGTTGCCTACAAGTGTCACTAGTTATGGAGTGCTTTTCAACTTGCAGCCAATCTGCGTATTCAAAGAGCATTAATGGAGATGAGGTCTTTTGAATGTCTTCTCATATCCGAGTGCTGAGCAGATTTGAAAGAAAACCACTTACTATGATGGTTTAGATGGTTTTGATGATTTTTGTCTGCCATTAAAACTGATACCGAAAACTCTGTAGGATACTTACCTGTGTTATATTCATAATATAGATGTATGGTAAGAGGGCACCATGGGAAGACCCCTCCAAGTGGGTAGCTGATACCTATCCATGGAGCTCTGCATCTCTACAGCATGAGTGGCCATCGTTACTTCAGTTAAGACCAGAAGATGTTGGTTATGAAGGTTATGCATCAGCAAAGGAAGGAACGACTTCAAAGCATGTTCCACAGACTGATACAGAGGGGGATCCCTTGGTAAGATTTAAACTTTGGGGAAAAGGCTTTTCAGTATGGACTTTACCATCACATGTTAAATTCTACACTGTACAGTAAAAAAATACTGTGTACCTGTTCCAAAATGGGCTTTTAAAATGAATGCTACTAGAATGTATTAAAAAGGTTGAAAATAAAAAGAAAATCTAACAGGAGGGTGGGTATCACCATCATGTTAATATGTCCCTAAATTGCATTTCCCGTCTGCCCAGAAATGTGTCTGGTCTTCATCATTATAGCATTTGGATACCACTCTTCAGCAACTTATTAATCAGTTTATTCTAAAAACACCTTTCCAGGTTGGGCAGTCCTTCATCTACATTCTACAAATGAAGGACTGAGAAACTTGCATTATTTAACTTGTCTATCATAGAGAATTAGTGGAAATGCAAATTAGACAGCCATCCTCCCATTCCTCAGACCACTTCAAGATAACTGACGACTGTATAACAATCTTAACATAAAAGGAATGCAAGTGTGGTGGCATTAAAAGATAAGAGGTTGATTTCCCTCAATGCCATGTATTGTTTTATTTAAATATGATCCCAGATGTTTGGGTTTACCATTGCCTCCTCTAATAATGGACTACTAAATTGCATATATTGAACTTCTATTCTTGCATAGTGCTTTCTCTATAGACTGCCTTTATCACAATTCAAAATACCATTTTGGAGAACTGTACTTCTGGAATACAGGCAGCCCTTGGAAAAGGGAATTTCTCAGAGGAAAATGCATTTAACTCTTATCAGTGCTAAGAAAATGACTCCTTAGCCTCACTGAAGCGTTTGGTATCCAAAACCAGACCTTGCATCCTGAAGAAGTGTAGAAAATCACCTCCTTTGATCCCCTGTCTCCCGCTCTGACTGTTTGACCCAGTGACTTGGGCTGCCAGTGAGTGTATTGGCCAGGCTCCCAGCACGTACGCATCACTCCACTAAGGTGAAAACACTTGGGCAGCTCGAGTTCAGTGTCCTGTCACCCCTTCTCCCTGCACACTGTGATCAGTATCTGTATCTAATTATCAGAAGCTTGAAACTTGTGAATGGAGGGCTTGCCCCTGCCTCTGATGGAGCTCACTGGGCGACAGACATCGTGCTTGGGGAAACAGGACCTTTCACGTGCAGGCTGTACTGCACACCCACCGCATGGATCCTGTATTCTCAAACATGGATACCTATGAAACCTTCAGCAAAAGCTGCCTGATAGCATTAAAGAGAATTAAATGCTGTTCAATGCCTAGAGAAAACTGCACAAGCTGTGCAGGTTGAAACCGTAGAGATGTAAGGATTCCTGAGCAAACTGGGAAAAGGGGCTTAACGCACAGACACACAAGAATACCTCTTTCTCTTTGGTTTTTCATTGCCTATTTTTTTGTAATGACAGCGTATTTGTTCCTTGAAAAACACTAAAGCAATGTCAACATTGCTTGCAGCCCTGAGCATGCTGGCAGAAGCGGATGTTTTATAAATAAAATCCTGATCATTACACAGAGTTAGGCGTCAAGCATCCAAGTAATTTTCTGGGCCTTAATGCTGCTTTTTGATGATTTTTCAGATGAGTTTCAGGTTCTAATAATCGCCAAATTATGTGGGGGCTCTCCTCTCCTGGGTAGGAGGATCTGTTGCTGCTCCCCTGCTGAGGTCAGCCCCTCGACAGCAGATGGGACTCTTTTATGAAGCAGCTGGCCTCAGTCCACACCTCTCCTGCTCCCTCCCCATCTCTCTTGTGCAGAGGGGGTATGTTAGTGTGATTATGTTTGCGGTTGCTTTTCCAATGTAGTGTGTCTACGCCATCCAAAAATTATCTGGAAGCTTGACTGTCTCCAAATATGGGCCCAGATGTCCAGCTGTGATATGGCTTCCTTCCCCTGTCGGTGTTGCAGCTGCAGCCGGTCTCACCCTTGAATTACAGAGAGTTATCAGGCAGCTCCATGGTATCCCTCTGGCTCTTTGGACCTTTAAACTTCTATTTAAAGACCAGAAGGCAATGAAAGGGGTGCCAGGAGGAGCCGCTGACACCCTGGCCTTTCTGAAATCCTTTTGTGTGGTCCCCTCAGCTAGATACCAGCACACCTCATACTGCAAAGGAGCTTAATTAAATTTTAACACGGTCACTGCAGCATTAAATGAGACAAGATTATGTAAACATTGCTTTCTTCTTTCAGATGAATATGCTAATGAGGCTTCAAGAGGCAGCCAACTATTCGAGCGCGCAAAGCTGTGACAGCGATAGCACCAGCCACCATGACGACATTTTGGATTCATCCCTTGAATCAACTCTCTGAAAGGGACAAACCTTGGTGGAGGATTATGGTAAAATCTGTTTCCACTAGACCACTGCCAGTATTAAAGCAGCACGCCGAGGTCCATGAGTGAGAATGGTGTGTTGTAGGTAGGCAGGAGACCTAACTCTTCAAAGTCAGGAAGAAAAATTGAAGTGGAAAGCTTGAATTAGTTTAATTTCAAGGCATTTCAATACCTATGGAGCCAAGTGAGACTCCATTTGTCAACTGGAAAGGGCCCTAGACCAAGGGCATCTAAGCAGATTGCACATGTGTTAGCCAAACTGGAATTTTTATTTTTTTTTTCCCTTTTCCTTTTTCTCTCTCTCTCTCTCTCTGTCTCTCTCGCTCTCTCTGTCTGTCTCTGTTTCTCTGTACAAGTTTACAGTGCAACTTCTTCTGTTTTTTTCCTTTAGTTTACCCTGAGGCGCTGCATGAACAATGCAGTCTTCTAATTCTCTTCTAACCTCTGTTGTGCCACATGGTGCTGGTCACAGGACTGCAGTGGTGTTTGTGTTGTACGCTACTGCCCATTCCAAAATGAGTCAAAGATGATGATAGTAACTCGGAAAGCACAAACAGTATTGTGCAATCACCAGAAAACATGACTGTGATATGCTGGATAAGTGCCAATTTAATTCTAACTGCCATGGTCACGGTGATGCGCTCCATCAAGTTTTTAGTACACGAGTCACAGATTTTATAAAGTTGTTTTTACCACAAAGGTCTTTTTTAACCACCTGCCCACTCCTTAACAACAGTTTTATACCAATTATTAACCAACACTGATTAAAGGCTTTTTAGGGCTTCATTTGTTTGAGCCTTTTCAGTGAAAGAAGGAACATTTCTTATGGTGCTGTCTCACTGCCTTAAAACAGATTTCTAGAACAGTTTTACAGTTGGTTTAATTCCTAAACCATTGGTAATTTACACTGTTTTTTTCTTCATTTACTAATGAGAAAACGTCAGTTAACACAGTAGCCTCATATCTGTATATCATGATTTTTTAAAGAAATGGATAGGAGAAAGAACAGTTGCTATATAATATTTTTATCTTGTGAATAGATTGCTCTGCCTACCCTCAGAAATACACAAGGAACCCAAACCCACTTCCACTGCCACCTAAATGCTGAGAAAATCGGCTCAAATCCATTTGGTCCCATGGAATGGAGTTTTTGGAGGATAGATGTTTTGAATTCTTATCCAGCAGAGCTGGATGCACTTGATGCAGCATGAGCACAAATATATGTTTGGTTTGGTTTTTTTTTTTCCTTTTTCTAGTTTTAGCATGTTGTTTTGATTGCTATTGTTGTACATGAAGAATTCAGCATAAAAGAACACTGAAGCAGTGATGTCCACTGTGGAAGAGGAAGAGTTTATACTGTAAAAGTGGGTTGGTTTTGCACAGTCTACTGGGTGGGTATTGTAAATATTGAAAAAAAAAAAAAAAGAAAAAAAAAGCCTTGCACAAATCAAAACGATAACAAACAAACAAACAAACAAAATGTATTTTATTCTGTTGGTGTTAAGAGATGTTTCACTTGCTGAGATTTCCTGTATGTTGCAAACAAATACAGAATGCAAACCTTAAAAGCTGTTATTACCTGGTGTGTTTGTCCTGTACTTACAGTTGTTATGACTATGCAGGAGCTATCAATGCTACAGTGAGCATGTTTCAATATCTATATGAAGCCAATACATTTGGGGGGAATAAAGCTGAAAATGTTCTAAGTGCGTATGTCACGGCAGGCTACAACCAGATTGCTTTCAAACTGCTCAGAATAATTGGAAACGCTCTTTGACCACAAGAGACGTCCAGTTAAAATAGGTGCATATAAACAAGAAGGTATCCAAGGGCTTTGGCATTGTGTAGACATGTACTGTACACCTCCATGGATGTTACCTTCAGGATGTGTATTTGGTGCTATTAACTCTTTGTGGCCACCCTGTGGTCACTCACTGTAAAACAAAGATAAATCAATGCAGTTTCCAAATGGCACTGAGCTGCATCACTGAATCTAGAGGTTCCTACACGGTGCTATTGCCCTAATAAAACTCCAACTGAATTTATGCATGTAGGATTCAGTCAGACCAACATCATGCCCCCCCAAATCTGGATCCATTTCTGATGCAAAATGTCAGCGCATACACCTTGGCTGACTCGAAGAACTAAAGGAAAGCTGCTCTTTCCTGTACCTGTGCTCTGAGCAAACCTGCAAATCTTTTCCTGCCATATTTAACACACAAACACACAATATCACATATACAAAACTTCCTGCAATACATCTCAGTGAGTCCACCTAGTTTACAACTCAGAAATTGTTTGTGAAACATTTGTCTGTACACATTTTATATTTTGTACATTTTTGATGTAACATATCATGTAAATAGACAGAAACAGTGAAATAAATCATCTGAAAAGTTTTGTAGTCTTTGTAAAGCCCTAATAATAAGTATTTGGTGTCATCGGACTTAACTGGATGATGTATTTTCTATTGGTTTATTGTTCCTCTAGCTTGTAAACCAGCTTGCGTATATTTTTTTGCAGGTGTGCGCACTGTATCTGTCTAAATTATTACTTTGCCATTAAAGTGGAATTATTTATTGAAAACACAGTCTGGTGTTTTTGCAGTCAGGACCACTTAACGGTTAGATATTATTTCAAATATAAAAACATATAAACAAAATGACAAACTGAAGGATGTAATTTTCTGTATTCAGCAGAACTAATCTCTGTAGAAACAAAATTAAGCACTGTTTCTAGTTCCAGTGATTCAGTATGATTTTTGAATGGCTCTTTCCATAGTGGGAACAGGTTGTGCAGTTCAGAAGCAACTTTACAGTCTCGCTGTTCTCAAGACTCTCTTCAAATACAAGGCTATTGATTTCAGTGGTGGTAAACCTGTATAAAACTGGTGCAGTATTATGCTTTATTTTCAGACTTGAAGGGCTTAGGGCTACTTCCTCAGCAGGTATACATCAGTCTGATTTAACAGAATTCAAAGAAAGAAAGTAGAATTATGTTAGTCAGGTAATCACAGACTTTGAGGCTGGAAGAAATAATTGTGATCCTGCTAGTTGTAGCACCTCGGCTGTAAGTCTCAGCAGCAGGTCTATAATTTCTCCTGAAATTGTCATATCCCTGGAAAGACCTTTAGACATAACGGTACAGAGTAGAAGATCTAGCACGTCGTTGTCAATGTGGCTAATTATTCACTGGGTTGGTTTGTTTTTTAAGGGCTTTATTTGCAGTTAGGTCTTACATATCTCTTTCAAGAGAAAAATACCCCAAACTGTCTTTGTCCACTTTGTCTACTAAAAAGCCAACCACAATCAAAACATCTTTTACATTTGAGTAAAAGCCTTCCTTGCTTTTCTTTTTGATAAGACAAGCAGCTTTTCATGATAAGGCATGTCTTTCAGACCTCAACACATTCTTGCAGGACTTTCTGACTACTTTTTGATTTGTCAGAGTCCCTTCTGAAGTGTGGCTATGAGAATTGCAGACGGTATTCCTGTGATGATTTTACTTTTGCTATAAACAGAACTAATATCACCTTCCTACTCCCACTTGATATTTTCCCTGCTTAGGCTTCAGGGCTGACATTCACTCTCTAATTGCATCATCCTACTGCAGGCTCATGTTCAGTTAATTATCTACCAAGACCCTGACTTCTTTTCATGTTGCATCATTTTGAAATACTTTGTCCAATCCTGTCTGTATAAACTATGCTCTTTGTTCCTTAGATTTATGATTGCAAATTTATCTGTATTAAAACAGGATATTCAAATCAGCCCACCCTACCAAATGATTCAGCTCATTCTCTACAATAAATTGGCATCTAATTTACCACTCCAGCAGCTTCCCTGATTTCCAAAACCTGCTAACCATCTTTCAGTTTTAGGTAAAGGTAGTAAGTAATGTTTGGCCAAGAGCCAACCCCTGCAGAATCCTCTAGGACCCTCCATGAAGATTTCTGGTTTACAGCGACATTGTTGGGTCACTTATGTCACGGGTATATTTCTATTCCAGTTAACGTGGGTATGGATAGCAGAATGTCATACAAAACCAGGTGTGTATAATATTATAGGAAATATATCATGAGTTACATGGCTCCTCCATCACCGTAGGTCTCGAAGGATGGATTAAATTAGTTTCTGTTGAAAATTACATATGTAGACCTGATCTTACACAGTAAGGGGAATAGACTAGATGACTTTAGTGATCTCAGTGTGGCTTTCTTATAATTCAGTGCTGCAGTCTTTGCCTGTTATCCAGCTGCCATTACTTAAGGGAAAAGATATGAAATTTAATTGTCAGACTCATTCTGTGTCTACTGTCTCAGCATATCTACCTGTTAGCTGCCATCTGGAGAGCTGCCTGCTGAATGCCCAGGTTCCCAGGACAGGAACAGGAACGGGAACAGGATAATGCAACCTTGGAAAGGAGAGTGGTTTTAGCAAGGTAGTTGAGACATTGCTCTTGCTTACAAGAACTCATTTTTTTGTGCTGTCATTAAATAGCCACTGTGTTTCTCAGCATGCACTCCTTTTTCTTGATAACTGAATAATGTCACACAAATTAAATGCTACCACTAAGTCTGGCAATGCAAGAGCTACAGATGCACTATCATGGGAGAAATGCATTGCCAGATAACAATACCAGTAGCAGAAAATAGAATCTGTCATGAAAGATAAATTAACTAAGACCCAGGCCATGTGACCTTGCCTTTCTACACTAAATTGCATTTACTGTTCTTTGTTCAATTGCAACCTTAAACAAATGTTGATAAATAGCAATGAGTGAGCACACTGAGTGAAGTAAAGTCCTGTTTTTAGTAACAAATTTCACAAATGAAATAATGGTTTGCCTTTGTCAGTGTATTTACTTGTTTTGTAAGCAGTTTTTATTAAATCAGATTACATAATATAGGAAACTAAAATGCATCTTGACAATTAAATGCCAAAGCTGAAAGAAAAAGCACCTGGTAACTGCTGTCTAACAAAATAAAACATTTACATGATGACACATAACTAGCACTAATGATTTTATCACGCCTAAAATGGATGGCTCTAAAAGAACAAAGAAACAGACAAAATAGGTGCTAGCTGTATGGACAAACCCCAAGGACTTAGTGAACAAAGTCATTTAGACTAGTGAACTCTATTTTAGCACTGTTAATTCAATGCACCTGAAATATGCCCAGCTAATCCCATGTTCTGTACTCTACAAGTGCAATGAAAAGACATACCTAGAGTGAAAAAAAGACTCTTCAGTGTGACTGTTAATGCACGTTAGCCGTTGCACTCATGTAGGCTACATACAATAAAGAGCTACGGTTTCTTTACAGCAGTCCCTGAGCTACCAGAAATAATTGGGTGGCAGAATGAATAATTTAGCTCCATCATTACTGCACTCCTCATATAACTGTCATGATCTTTAGTGTACCCTGTCCCTGCTTATCCAGGTCAAGCTAATGGCACTGTGTTGGACTGACTCTTGATTGTGGCTGGGGAAAGTCACACTGGAGGCAAAATCTTACATCTTAACTGAAATAACATTACAGGGAAAATGTGGTTTTCACCTAGTGGAAATTAAAAAATCTAAAAGCTATGTAAGAAAACTTTATTGTCTTATTAGTAATTGCTGTGATTAATCTCATTATTACTTAATGTTTTGTATTACTGCTTTTGTAGTGCCAATGCATCTCAAATACTTTATAAATACTTTTCTTGTAAAAAGAAGTTACCTTTCCAAGTGTAAAATTTTACTGCTTATTTGAGAGTTGGTTAATACCTTGTTTCATATTACCAGCCTATTCAACTACATCCATGCACAGTAAATTTAATCTCTAGCTTAAGGGTCTCTGACATTAAAGAACATGTCTAGTTTTACTATGTGTTCTAAGTAAGTGAAGTTCTTTAATTTCTGTCCTGAATATAGCGTTAAGCATTTGAAGTGCTTTTCTAGTTTAGACTGCAGTGCCTGCATTCTTCCATAAACCACTGTCTTTAGAGGATAAGATGGTCAACAAACTGCTGCAAGACTCAACTGAACATTGTTTGTAGCAAGTGTGCAGAATATTACACTCAAGAATTATAATTTAATTCCATGGTTAGATGCAACATTTAGTAGGATGCCATATTGCCTGTTGTAATGTCCTCAAAAGTTGAATAAAACCTTCAGACTATGTTGCTAATCAGAATGGAGGGAACCCTCCTCCTTTTCTGGAGTGGAGCAGCTGGTAGCAATAAAACCTAAGTGCCTATTTGTAGCTGCAGGACAATGGAGAGGTTACTCCACCTAGAGGAAGATGAATAAGCTTTAGCATATGCTACAGGCCATGCTGGAAGAAATCTTTCATACTGGAAAAATATGAGTTATCATATAGCTGTTACCATCCCTTGCTGTATATCAGAATCAGGTATCGTGTATAATTAATTGTAACGTTATCTTGCCAGCTGTCAAGATATTTGTGGGTTTTCTACACTATGCAGTAATCAAAATACAAAATATAGGGCTGAAGCTCAATATGAATCTTAGAACAAATTTAAATAATAGGGCTTTAAAGGCCCTATTATATTGCATTTCTCTGCCTAATGATCAGGGATATACTATGAGAAGTGGAAATTCCACCTATATCTACAGAAACCTCCACACTTGCTCAAGAATGCTGAGTCCTCCTCTTATCCTTCCTCTGGGGGAGCAGGATAAAGAGAAAAAGGGCTTTCTGGTTTATTTGCCTGTTCACATTCACAAAGAATCCCCTTGCTGCTGATTCTCTCCCCTTAGTTTTGTTAGCAGACCTGCTGAATATCAAACCACAGCTGGTCAGGAAGTTTCCAACTAAGAAGGCTGTCCTATGAAGCCAAACTGATGCACCAAAGAATACCGGAGTAAATAAACTTTGGATGTACCACAAGCAGAGGATATTTTCGCCCTTGTTTCCTGCCAGTTCACCAGGCAGCTGCTTCAGAACCAGAAGTACAAAGATCCGCAGCTCTGATGAAGTTTTGTTCAGGACCCACAACGTGAAACTTCTTGCTACAAACTGGCTTGTTGCAGGGCTTCAGCCCCAGCTCTCCTGGCAGCCCCGAACGCTCCTGCTGCAGCCAGCGTGGGCAGGGTTTCCTGGCATCCCTCTGATGCTGAGGAAATACCCACGCTACCTTCAACTCCCATGGAGGAACCCCTCCTAAAGCTGAAGATAGATAGTCTAAAAACTGTTAGGATGTGAGGAAGGGGCAGGGGAAAAAAGCAGATGGTTGCTCTGATCTGTTCCAGACAGTGTGAGCAAAACCACTTACACTTTCTGGAACGAAAGCAAGGAGCATTTCTTTCTAGTGGAATTTTTTAGATAAGCTTTTACAGAAATTATTCCAAACACACATAGGCACGTACACAGAGGAATTTCCTGTAAAGGTCATTTCTATATGAAACCAGCTTTTTGGTGTTAACACAGATTGCTCAACAGTTCATTTAGGCTGCAGTGGCATTGTCAGCCGCAGAGAGGGGTTGGATTTGCTTTGCTGAGGCAGACATTGCAGCTTGCTCTGGGAACTGCCATTCCCAAAGCAGGGAAGGCAAGTGCTCTGAAAACTC